AAAGAAAATTACATCGTGTTACTTCCACTTACCACCCCATATCCCTACTAAGGCATCCCTGTTGAATGGAAAGATGATGTTTTCATAAAAATCAATGCGAGTCAATATCTTTAGACAAATGCAAACTTCGGTAGTCGAGGCCAGAAACATTAATTACACAGAGGACTAACATCCCATTACAGTGGAACCCCCTCCTCTAGGACAACCCCTGAAAAGGAGGACAAGAACCTCTCTAGGACAACCCCTGAAATTAGGACACCTCTCTAGGCGGACCAACCTTTCTTTCCCCCAACAACATTTCGAACCATGAAATAATGAACACCAATCACTATACTAAGACACTTTCTTCCTGTCCCATGGTATCTCGGACAGATATATAGGGGTTTCCACTGCATAACACAGGAGCATACATATAACTGATACCTGAGGTAAAATTCACTTTCAACGATTCTGATTTTTCAGCAAACATCCGAATGTAGTCTCGAACACTCTGTTCGTTGAATGCAGTGGTACAGCCAAGATCGGCCTGACACAATAAACAGGTTTCAACAACACTATACACAGTCAATAGAGATGGCGACAATTGTCATGCTAAGCTAAGTAATGTATATAATACAAATTGCTTGAACAATGCCAACGATTAACACGGCTATAGTGAAATCTAATGGCATCACACATCTTTATTACCAGAACTATTGCGCTGTTTTTGGCCTGTATGATATTGTAATGTATATGATTGCAAGTTGCCCCGACAGGACAGCATGAGGCTGACTAAGGGCGACTGACTGTCCTGTCTGCGGTACTGCAACAGAGTTGTTGATCCTTGAGACAAAATACAGACATGTATGAGACCCTCGCTATAGCACATGTAGGATTGTATAGGCCTGATAAAATCCCCCAGTACTAGCTTCTGAACACACTTTCATGTGTCACATTATATCTGCTCTGATTACGCCGTGCTGTGTCACTATCACCTTTTTACTCTCGTCCTTAACTGGTCAGGCCCTACCCCCGTCACATTTCTCCATCTTGTCACGTACTCCTACCCGCTCCCCTCACCTCTCCGACACGGGTTGATAACTCTCTTCAACTGCGTATTCGCTGGACAGCGTCGTTCCTAGGTGAAGTGGCCAGCACAAACGGCCAGTACCCGGCCTTCGACTCCTCTCAGACCGTGCATGAGAATGGTGCTCGATAGAGATGTCACCACAGGAGCTGGCTGGTATCTTCTGCTCTCCGTAAAAGCGTCCATTGGCACAGCACTACTGTTGCTTTGCAATCACACACTGTGTACTCTTTGCAGCTGTATAAACGGACCGGGAGTGATGAAAAAACACGAATACACTGTTCTGCAATCGTATCTCAACCCCACCACCAAGGGTATATCTGATACGAATTAAGTCTATGCAAAGTACACTACACCTAGAATGAGAAGAAAAGGACAATTTGCGCACATCAACTCTTATATCAACAAGCTCTACAGTGCAATTATACATATGCCTGTAGTTGTAAGTTTGGTGAGATGTGACATGGACATTGACATTAATACAGTGGAACTCCCCTAACATTCAGACACCAATGGGACGGAAGAGAATGTCGGCCGTCATGAGGTGTCCTTATTTCAGAGGTTAGAATACGCATGCAAGAGAAAAATAAAAAGGGTGTCCCCACTTCTTCGAGAGGAAGACAATCTGGCCTATGTACTCTCGACGGCTAGAATGAAGCAGGACACGCAAAACAACACTGCCAGGCTGAAGTCCAAACTCTTAATCTCCCTTAGCTATACTCACAAACAGTAACACTCGCTACCTCTCTTTTATGTCCTAGAGACCAGCTCAGTAGAACGTCTTCTTGTGCCCCAAGCACGTACCGCCCCCTCGCGAAATCTCCTGCCCGCTCTACCCGCTCCGTACGGCTCTCGACTCGCTACAGCTGAAGGCACTAGGTCTATAGGCCCTCTGTTTTCACGTTTGTGTCACAAACTCTATGCTGTGGACTCTTTGCATGTGCGGCACACACGTATATACACCCATCGCAACGGACCACGCCCTACTATTATTATGGGGGCATGGCTTCACATCTCTGCATGCGCAATAATGCACGCTGCTGACTGCTCTCGCTGCTGTTTTGGCGTTCAGTTTATTGTCGAAATGCGGCCAAGTATAGTCCAAAGCAAACAGAGAGTGCGTCTCCTTTGGTGATAACGCACGACACAATTGCAAAGAAGGTGTGTTTCACACAACGCACAGCGTGCTTACATGTACATTGCTTTACGCATGCGGTTAATACTCAGGTGGGAAGGGAGAAGAAAAGCACACTGGGCAGCCAATGTATTGCATGACTAGCAATAACCAATCACCTCCAGTGGTTCCAGGATGTGCCGTGGGTGATAGGGCGTGTGTGCAGAGCATGCCTGCATGCCAGTACAGTGAGAATGGTATATAACAGTGTCATGTGACTAGTCACGATGATACAGAACTATTCACATAGTTCACTCGCTATCGTAGTGATGCGGATATGTCCTGACCGCCGATCATCTCTAGAGGCGTGTGACGCTGAAGCAGTGGCAGTGGGGGTGTGGCCAGACGGTCATCTAGACGTCTGGCACACCCCACCTGCCAGACGATGGCTGCGGTGGAACCACACCCCTCCTGGTAAGTCGCCCGCGCATTCACATCATAAGCTTTCAGGAGTAAAATTAAAGGGTTTTTTCTTAGGAAGAAAGCTCTTGGAAAATGGCAGAGAAATAATTATTGCAGATTAGCAATAAAAAATCACAAATCGATGCACGAGGTGTTAATTGTACACTTCCTGGTGAACCCCAGACCCCTGTCCAACAGATGAACTACTGGCTGTAAGACTAGCAGCTCTGGACATCAAACAACCCGACACCGTGTGTACCTGGATCACCTCTAATCTGATTGGACGCTCACTTCATCTACGGCCTCTTCATCTCTCCACCACTGACAACTCTCTTCACTGTATCATACACTACAGAAAGGTATAATATAATACAGGAGACCTCTCGAAGGCACACGACCAATAAGGAAAATATATACACCAACTCTATAAGGACACGTTCCCAAGATTACTGACTTAATAGGACACACACCTCCTCACTACATCTCATCTGTCCTATTGGTGTCAAGATTATACTTCTCATTATTGACAGGGGTTCCCAACGTATCTACCTGAAGTGTGCCAATGTCGAGATACTGTCACTCGGACTGGCATCCATAAAGGATCCCTCCCTCGGTCACCACGGAAACAGTGGTTACCACGTCAACAACAGCTGATTGCATTCCTGAGTGAGGGTGTGAGGGCGGAGACTGGTGCCCAGAGGAAAGGGGAGGGGGTGTGGAGAGGCAGCGTGCACGAGGCAAGATGGAGAAGAGGACTTAGGTTTCTTAGACTTCGAAAATAAAAATCGTTCAACTTTTTGTTCGCCAAGCGCAAAAACTTTTCTTATTTCAATTCAACCAAGCACAATCAAAATATTTTTTTAACATGACGGAGATTTTGGAAGATTGCGCGAAGATTAATGTGTTGGTCTTGTCCGAGTCTAAGTCAGGCTGTCACATAGCCTGTGGGAAAAGAGGAGGGAACGGAAGTATTTATGTCATCAAGTCTGAGTCGTAATTATTTTACCAAGATAATCAGTCCATTAGTCGTCCCAACTGCAAACTGAAGAGAGAAGAAATAGAAAATATAAGTAAACATTACAAAAAGATAAGATCAACTTACAATGTCGTTAGCGTCAACGCGAGTGCCAACAATTCTCAACCGAATGCTGTCCTTTTCTTGAATGACAACATCCTGTTTATTGTTGTCAGCTAATAAACAACAACAAAAACAACAACAAAAAGGAGGTGTGACCTGATCAGCCGTGGTGTAACTGGGTGGTGTTGAGTTTGGGTCGAACTCCATCTCGGGTGGAATTGACTATAAACAACAACAACAACAACAACAAAAGTAAACAAAAAACAAAAACAAATTGTGTTCGCTCACGTGTTTCGAAACAAAGCAGGAGAGTGGTCCGATCTGTGTGAACATTCCAACCTTGTTGACCTTTGTGACTATTGCGTCCAACACCTCTCCCTTGAATGGTCGGAACACTATAGCCTGCACACAGGATAAGAATTTCACTAGGAGAGTATTCTTGTTCCTTAATTAATTAATTAATTAATATCCATATATTAAGCTAGGTCCCAAAAGATGACACGTCTGAAACACATACATACCCACGGTTGGAAATATCGTGGGTGTATGCGCTCTACCGTGCAAAATATACAATTTGGTACATCAGAATTCCTTGTGAATCAGACCTTATATTTGACGGGGTAGAGGCAGAACCCCCGGCCGGGCTGCAGCGTACCCAGACCAATGTTGTCAATTGTCGTCACTGCTATCACAAACCCATACCTAGTATGACGAGAGAGCATTTAGCTAGTAACTAGTAAATGAATAGAGGATGCCAAATAATAAACTGTGTGCTAAAGGATTCCGGCTTCTCTACTTCATAGCCTACTTTTGAGAATGCTTTCAGAAATTCACTAATCTCCAATCTTACGCATTTGTTATTCACAAATTCATAATTTTAAAAAATTTTCAGAGGTCATACATACTTACTTTCCTGTGCAGGTTCCCTCGACTTCAGTGAAGAGCTTTTTCTTCACAGTCTCCAGTAGATTGGGCCCAAAGTAGCGCGGGTGCAGCAGAATCTCGTGGTCTAAGGCTATCTTGAATTGGAACGGAGAGGGAAGAGATTTGTAGAGATTTGTACCGCATACTACGCAGTGCGCAACAATTAGAACCTACACTACGTATGAACTTGGCAAAGCTGGGCCTAGTAGACAAGCAGCTAATGGCCCGTAATGTACGCTAATTACCCGTTATGTACGCTAATGGCCGTAATATACGCTAACATAAGTACAAACTGAAGGTTGTTGACTTACATGGAAGAACATGTCAGAACAGCTGTTTATATGACGTTCTGCTTAGACTACAGGTAACACGCAATTGACCAATCAGATTGCGAGTTTAGCGGTGACTAATTTTGTTAGTGACCTCTTCCGCGGTAACTATTCGTAGCTAGCTAGCCCCGGCAACCACGCCTTCAATTCGAAAAGACGCCACGCGCGCGGACGGTGAACCGAGCTTCTGGAGCGGTTCTTCCCACGAAGAAACCAGGAACAGGCTCTTCTAGCAGCAGCGCATGACTACTAGAGAGCTAGGAAGACGCTAGAGAAAGCGTACAGGGAAAAACGCGTACAAACGGCCGGGCGGCGCGATCCCGAAGGGCAGCAACGCCTACAACGGACACTGCAGCGGGACGGACTTGCGCTGTAGTCTAAGCCGGTTAGACGCGTCGCCTTGGGAAACTACGTGATTTAGTGAGCCTCGGAGCCCTTAGTAGCGCCCTCGCTGCGCTCGGGACGCCGACAGCTCAGGGCTCCTCGACTCACTAAATCGCGTAGTTCCCGCGGCTCAGCGTCTAACCTATACTTTTGGTGTGACGCCATTATTCCCCCGTACAAAGTTCAAAGTTCATTTAACAGTGCCCATATAAGTTAGTGCGCATGCGCATATTTTTACGGGCGCACTTTTGCAAAATGGCGACAGAAGAAGGGGCGGTGGACAAGGAGCTTGCAGCCATCATTTCTGAGGTAATATTTTGCTAAAATGAGCAGTTCTAATGCAGAGAAGGGTCCAGCTTCCTTGAAAATAATGCTTAGATTGTCCAGATGTTTTTTTGATTTACTGAATCTGCAACATTCTGCAGTACCTAACGAGCAGGGGCTACCTCCAGACGGTGGCCGCATTCCAGACCGAGTCTCGTCGCAGACCCAAGCGAACCCCGCCCACCCAGACCACTGCACTCCAGGTACAGTACTCAAATCTGATTGGTCAACTACGGAAGAAAGCTAGAGCAACTTCTCATTTTTCTATTGGCCTGCAGCGTGATTTTATTGTCGCTTTCGAATGTGGCAAGAGAGAGACTTTCTTCAAACTCTGGAACGGGAATGTGCCGCAGGAAACGCTGGAACGAGACCAGACCTGTCAGAATCTAGAGTTCAATCTCAGTGTCTACTTTGCCATCTACCCAATTAGGACAGGGGTGAACCCTTCTCACCGTCTCTCCCTTTCTCATTCTTTCTTTTCATCTCTCGCCCTCACGGTTCCATATTATCTCGCTCTGAAATTTACTCTATCTTGCCAACTTTAGTGTTTTCATCATGCTCCAAACTTTCATATTCTCCCTCCATTTTGCATCGAAACCTCTTCTTTCCACCTGTCTCACACCAACATTTTGTATCTTTCCCTCCCTCTCTCCCCTCTCTCTCCTCAAGACGGGAGACAGAACGCGCTCCCTCCATCAGTTCACTGGCTACCTCTCCACACGTAGCACAGTTCTCTCTAAGAATCCCGAGCTGTCTGCATACTGTGCTCTTCCCTACGTCCCTGATCCCACATCTCACCCTTCTTTCAAGAAACTCTTCACCGTAAGTGTATTGCAAACAACTTTGATAAGTACTAATTTTTGTGAATGCAACATTATTTTAACTTGGCAAACACTATTTGTCATTTATTTGCAACTTGGAAAAGAGTATATACCATCATTCTAAACTGGGTTTACAAGCGCAGTAGTATACCTAATACACAGAATTGTCCCAATTTTTCGTGTTGCGCTAAACTATGCCTGCAGGAGTCGTGGAGTTCAGATCTGAAATCTCGTCTCGTGCATTTCCTGAAGCTTTTTCTGAAAGGAGGCTCCCAGCAGCCGGTGCTCCTCTCCCTCTACCTCACCGTATCCTCCCCACATGTCACATGATAGTCACGTGACTCCCTGCATTGATCACGTGACCATTTCCTGAACTGAGACTCCGTATATAGAACAAAGTGTCCCCCACATCAGAAGGCAGTGCACAAGGTATTACGTATGTACAAAACTGCTCGTAAAAATGTTCATAGTTTGTCGCAAAAATTAGCCGCATACGTGTTTACTTCTGTGAAAATGTGTTTTTTTGTGTTTAATTGAAGTATTGGTGACGTAAACTTTTTTGTTGGTACCAGAGGTTGTGCTGTTGAGAGAGCAGTTGGCAGAGAGCCGGAGACACTATTCTGAACGGCTCGCCGAAATACAGGTGCTGTGTCCTGATAAGAGACGCGTTGTCCCGATTGAGAATGTGTGTCCCGATTAATTTTCAGGACAGCTATCACACTTTGGTCGGGATAGCGCTGGAGCTGCTCGATGCGCTAGAGGCTGCAATAGCAGGACGACAGGTACTAAACAGTCAGCGGAGATGTTAAAGTGTGTCCTGAAACGTTGTCCTATAGGTCACTCCAGAGAGCATTCAGAACATCTGTAGTCGGCTGTTCGGAAGTTCTCTGCCAGATGCTGCAGCCTCTGGCGACATCAGGCCTGGAACTGCCACCTCCATCCTGCGACAGTCTGTCATTTCCATGAGAGACAAGTACACTCATTTTCTTTCCTCTACCCACTCTCCTTCCTCTCTCCCTTTTCTTCCCGCTCAGTATACAGGCTCCAGTCAGTCTCCACACCTCGACCCCCATCCCCTCCCCACTCCCCCCTCCCTCCCCGCCCTCCCCGGACTCACCAGACAACACCCTGACTCCGCCCATCCTCACCGAGCAGACCTTGTCAAAAGCCACACCCCCTCCTCATCTACAGCTCAATTTCCACCGACTAAAAAGCACACTGCAGTCCAGCAATGATAGAAAGAAGGCTCTACTGCTGCAGGCTTTGAGATGGGTTAGACTAATAAACTTTTCTGATCTTTTCTTTTCCGAAAAATAATATCGCACTTGAGCAAGTTGTGTGTTAAAACCTTTTGACGGTGAAAAAAGATTTTGGGTAAATTTTTGCAATATGCTTGCTTGTTTCGCTGTGTTGAATCCGATACATAGCAAAATTATCCTCTCTCTTTTTTCTTCTTCTTCTCTTCTTCTTCTTCTTCCTCTTCTCTCTCCCTGTGTTCAGAGGTTAACTCAAGCTCCGTCAGCCGAAGAGTCTCATGCAGTGCTACATGACTATGTGGACAACGACTTTCTGGGCTGCTCAAATGAAAACGACGCCTACCACGTACGACTAATGACTTTTGTAATCTTGAACGATTTAAGATTTTTTGTTTTGCACACTCCCTACTTTGAAGCTTCTTACGTATTTGATTTGCTTACTCCCAGTGTGTTTTGTATATAAGGGCGCTAAAATGGAAATTTATTGCATTCTTCCACTGGGACCTTTTGTTTCGTAACGTTTGCAAATGATGGATAAGCCAGTCTGTTTATTTTTGTTCCTTCTTCCCACAGAGTAAAGTGACGTCTTTCCTCCAATCGTCGTCGCTGGTTCTCTGCGAGCAGTTTTGTCGTCTGTTGAACTCAGTGTCCTCGCTATCCCAGGGTCGTAGCTACCTGGCCCAGAGCCAGGCGATGGTGGCCGCTCTCTGCCAGCTTCTGACTGGAGTGAGCTGGGGAGGAGGAGAGGGGAGAGAGGGAGAGATGGGGGGAGGGGTGGAGGGGAACATTGGACGAAATGCACTTGGAGCTGTTCAAAAACTGAGCCTAAAGTAAGAAAATGTGCACTTTTCTGAAACAATTTCTTTTGTTTCACTCTTTCTTCAATCAATCCACAGACGTCATCTCCAGGGACTAATGGTGGGGTGTGGCCTCCCTCAGTGGGTTGCCATGGTAATTGGCGGGGAGGGAGAGTCTCACCAGCCGAGCGACTACGTCCTGCGCTACGTCCTCGCTCTCCTCATGAACCTCTCGCTGCGGAGCTCCGGGAGGGGGGCGTGTCTGGAGGCGGGGCCTCTTCTCCTACGGTCCCTCGGAGAGCTGCTCGAACACGAGGACGAAGAGGTCAGAGTTTAGTTGGGTCTGTGAATGCATTATTGGCGAACGCTCTGAGCAAAACCGAGTGAGGTTTCTGTCATAAAAACATAATTTCAAAACAATCGCACAGTTCAGTGAAATTTTTTACTGGTTTCTGAAGTATTATGGTACAGGCAGTGCAAACATAATACAAAACAATGGCACAATTCGGACAACTTAGGTGGGCTTCACTCGCGTGTGTATATATATAAGTTTGGATGTTGGAGGTATTATGGCCATTAGGTAGGTATTAGTACTTACACAGTACTGTATGTACGAAGTGGTGTAATCATTTTCACATGATGTGCATTAATTAGATCTGTTCGTATGTGAATGGGATTCTGTACAGTCTTCTGTCACTCCCCCAACTGCAACAAGAGGCCAGAGCTATGGTAGGTATGCCGCTGTATATATATCACTACAGTTGAAGTACATTATAAAATCTGAACAAGGGACACTGTGGGGACACCTAATGCCATTGGCTACGTGTTTGATGTGTTACAAGCAGTTGTCCGAACATTTCACTTACACGAACCCCTTATGTAGGTCCTGTTGTGTTTGAATAAGTGACTTTCTATTGTATGAGGTAGGGCCATATTGTCCTATGTAGAGAGGTGTATTTTTTATCGGAAGGTTTTTTCATATGTTTTCACTGACTGTATCGACACTCTCCTCCGTAGGGTATGGGGGACATGCTAACGTCAGCTCTCGAAGCAAGTCCTCCCGAACTGAAGAGCCAACTCCATTACATCATTTCCAAACTCAACTCGGACACGCCCACTTCTACCACCACCACCAACGAGGACGAAGCTCCACCCACCGATGACTTGGGGGACGAAGATGAAGGAGGAGGAGAAGAAGAGGAAGAAGAAGATGGTGATGTCATAGAGGGAGACGAGGATGAGGTTGCCATAGCAACCAGTGGACCCACGGGGGAGTCCCTACTCGCTCAATATGTAATTGAAAATTACAACGTTTTGTGTGTTTGTGTGTGAGTTCTATAATAATAGGAGATTTGTGACACGTCGACCCCGGAGGACCCGGAGGACCCGGAGGACCCGGAACCCACAGTCAAACCCTACACAATGACATCATCGAAACAGGTAATGACCTCAGACCTAGCAGAGATAAGCTTTTACGTATGACGTGTCCAACTGTATATTATACAAAAAGATCCTGCCCACGAAAATGTTTATGCATGGAGAAAACCTTTGCAGATACAGTAGCTATGTAAAAAGTATCTCTCTTGATTACACATTATCACTAACTAAGGTAGTACTTAGTATATAGGGATGACACAGGTTGTCCTGCATTATGCCCATACATTTGAGATTTTCATGTTTCACTTTCAGTTGCAATCAGGTCCAACTTTTGACACATGTAATGTAGTCTCCTGCTATGTAACAATGCCTCTCTGTCCCAGAAGGCTCTGTTCAAGAGGCCAGTGACCCCAAATAGACACATCAGTAAGACTTCATCAGCAGGTAATGCAGCTCCGGATTCATCTTGTCCATAGTTGTTCAGATCTCAATGTGCATTACACATTGAACTTGTTGGTTCAATCCACTTCTTAGTTGGACGTAGATAGAAAGCAAAGTCTGGGCAAATTCAGGTTGATCCTTATGCAAGTGTGATGCTACTATATATTGCAGTTCTGACTGTCCTACATTGTAAGCATACCTACCAACCATCCAGCTTTTTGCTTGATAATCAAGCAAAAATGCTGCCTATCCCACCAGAAAATCGCCAAATCGCTCTTTTTTGTGCTAACCTGTGATGCATCATGCCTATACGTTTTGAATGGACATGCAGCATTTTCAAGCAAAAATGCTCCAAATCAAGCAAATTTGACACATTTCTCAAGCAAAGGTTTTATCTGCAGGTTGGTAGTATGCTAAGGCTGGTATACCAGGCTACAACATTGTAAAAACATGCAAGCCTTAACCTGTGTTTGCATTACGAAACCAAAAGTGACTGATAAATTAATATGGTGTCAGTGTTGTTTTCCCCTCCTCCAGTGAATGCGGCAGTATCAGACTACAGGGCAGGTGGAGCGTACAGCTCCAGGCAACTCTCTGCAAGATATAAATGAACATAAACGCTCACTTTTCGGTTACCCGATCACTTGTATTGCATTTAACACTAGCGTAAGACTACCATTCAATTGTGTAACTGGAGAATTTGGACTGCCATATATAAGTTATTTTGAGGTCCCGCTTGGGATTGTAAAATTAAGAAATCTGCCCTGTTTGAGACAAAATTTTGGGCAAAAAGCTTTAGTTTTTCGTGTCATGAATGTATTAGGTGTGTAGTGTATTGTTGTGATGTGATGGTGGTGTGTTCAGAAGGTTGTCAGTAGGCGTGGTGGCGGGTGCGAGATAAGTGCGTGATGTTGTCGACAACGTAGGAGTGGACGTCCGTATTGTCAGGGTGTAGCCGACACGATTCCAACAGTTCTCGAAATGCCTGTGTGTGTGTGTGTTTGAATGAACAATGAACATTTTTCCAACGCGTGCATGGCGCTCTACTCACATCACAGGAAGGTGTCCCAAGGAGGTTCCCCCAGATGTAGAGGTGAGTGAGGGATGTGTTGTTGGTCTGGAGACACGCCGCCAGCTCACACAGACCTCCATCTCCGGCTTTATTGTAGCAGACATTCAGACTACACCGACAGAGAGACGACTGATGTGATCATCACAATAATTCACAGGGAGCATGACCTTTTTTCAGAGGTGCAGGTTAACAATTACACTGAAGTTGTTTATAGAGAAGTGTGCTTTATTTGGAGTGCCTGTTGTGAGCAGCTCCACTGAAGAACGGAAGAGCAGTATGTTTTGCATTTCAGGCCAAGGCAGCTCTCCCATTTTGGAGCAAATCCCATTTATTATGTCGATCTACCCAAACACCCTTTATATGTACATGTATTATACTTCACTGAAGAATTCTCTCATACCGTACCAAGTGAGTCTGGTGTTGACCAGTAGAGCAGAGCTGATGTCAGTCAGTCCGTGATCATCAATGTGGTTACAGCTGAGATTCAGACTAGTCAGAGGAGTGTTGGCTCGCAGGAGGCCTGCAAAATGTCGCCCGCCGTCTCGAGACAACTTGTTGCTGGTTGGAGAAAGAGAGAAGGACTGAATATAAGGCCCTCAACACTCCAGCTTTCAAATATCCTCTGCTTCTACTAAAAAAGAATTTCACAGCGGCCCAAAGATGTGCGGTTCATGCACATATGGAGTTTAATGTAAGAACAAAGGGCTACCCTCAGCCGTATATATTCCGGCAGGAATGGCGTATGCGTAGGAACTCGGAATGCTCACGTGACCTGAGTGCACACATCTCTTGGACAGCCTAGCATCCAAAGCCAGATGTTAAGTTTACTCTTATGAAACCTGTCTTCCTGGTTTGCTTCTTCTCGTGCAATGAGGATACCAGAGAGGAGTGTAGCTGACCTGCTGAGATCCAGGTGAGTGAGGGAGGTGTTCTCCAGGAGGTGGCTACAGAGCCACTCACACCCAGTGTCTGTCATGGAGTGGAGCGACAGTTTCAGCTCCGTCAGCGTCGAATTCACCTGATCAATTCCAACATAATTATAGTGTAACACTAATACTCAGAGGAACTGTAACAAACGACACAAGAAACACCGTAGAGCATATAGACAGTGTATACCCAATACCTGAAGCATTCTGCTGATGTGGATCGTCGACTCCTCCAGTCTACTGTGGAGCAGAGGTCGCGAAAGGTCGACGCTCTTCAGTGTTTGGTTGCCGTGGAGAACGGTTGCCATGGCGATGATACAGTCGGCGTCGAGGTCGGTGTAGGCAAGTCCGAGATGTGTCAGAGTTCGATTGACCTGTACATACGAAGCAGCAAAACATTTCTTGAAACGCCATAGTGCTCCTTGTGTAGTTCCAGGTTCAGAGTTGATGTGTTCAGGCCTTATTAGGCACTAAGGAATACCTGATTTCTAATAATGCCTCTGCATTAATTCTCTATGCATGGGGTTAATGTATGTATAAAAACTCCACAATGCACATCACTATGGAACTCTCTCTCTATATATACATCCCTGTACTAAGTGATACCTGAAGCATAGAGGCAATGTGGATGCCACCCTTCCCACCAATCTTGCACCCATCCAGACTCAGTGATATCAGGGAACCGTTGAACTATGTATGTATGGGACAGATTGAAACAAACAATTAGTGTCCTGATTAGTGAAGACTTCCTTCATTAGTGGTTGGAGTAGGAGTATCAAAACCATGATTAGTGAGGACTTCCTTCATTATTAGTTGGAGCAAAGCATAGCAAAATGAGCTGTATGTATGCATTGTGCAAATTAATCTTGTATTTACCCCTACAAGGCTAGGCAGTTGCAATGTATAAGTCTGCCACTTTGTGTACTTGGTAGTACGTAACATAAAAGTGCAAGAACTTGTGTATAATTTCAGGCAAAAAAACTATAAGCAGTCGGGGGGATTGAAACACTCTCCGTTTGTGTTTGTACTAGGTAAAACCAATGGGAGAGTGTTAGTAATACCTGGAGGGCATTGGCAAGAAGGTCAGCACCTTGTTCTGTGAAGTCATTGAAACCAAGATGCAGACTCTGGAGTGAGCAGGACGGATCCTGGAACGTATCAAAGTTAAACGTACATATAATACATTTGTCCATCTCATACTGTAGAATGGGACACCGTAGTTGTAGGGCCAACCACAAAGGTTAAAGTTTGAAGCTGGCCATAGTTCCTAGAAATGAGGTAACACGGGGCAAGAGGTCAGTCCCAACTGTTTTTGAAGTCCAGTACAAAGTCTTCATAATATTTATATAGCCATGAGCTCATTAGCTCAAACTATGATAGGAACATTCCGTGTTGTAGAATGATGCATGATGATGCAAAGTGACCTCACCACCTTTAGACTTGACTCATAGTAGTACATGCAATAGTACATGCATACTACATAAACACATACTTTTAGAGATTAGGTTCCTGATAATTATTTGGGAGCTGTAGTAAGTATGGCGTAGCCATATAATTATATCACAGGCTGTTTGTTCACCATATTACCACAATAGAAGGATATTAGAGGAAGACAAGAGGCAGAGCACAACAAATGGGCATGGCCGTATGCAGTATGTGTTTCGCACGTGCCGGATGGATGCAGTGGCTTTGACACATACCTACAGTACTTACGCCTTTGAAACCTATGATGTCATTTGCTTGAGCCTGCACATTATTATACTGGATCTTAATCAGGCAAACTGTCAGGCGTGCATAATCGTACTGATGCAGTCACACACAGGAGGGTCCCAGTCATTGCATACATACACATTTTGCTTGTGTGTGCATTATATAGGTGTTAGACACGGTAGCGGGTCATCAGCATTCAGTGCATGCAACTGCAGCTCTAGAGCCAGCTGGGCCAGCCCTCTCCTAATATGACCAAATACCCACGCATATCGATTTGTAGTTCTTAGCAACGGTTCAGCCAATTTGTGCATGCTACCCCATCACAACCATGTTAGCATGGATTTAGTCTAAACTGGTTTTACGTGTAAACGTCTAATGCAAACCAAAATGTTGTCTATGTATGTAAATGGGGGCTATGTACATTCCACCTCTCCCAATTTAACCCCTCCTCATAAACCCAAGTTCCTGACTATGTGTACACCTTGAGGTAGAGAGAGAGGGTGCCAAGGCCGTTGTCTGAGATGGAATTGTAGCTCAAGTCCAGCTCCGTAACTTGACCATGAGCCAATAGTGCCTTCACCAGCACTGACAGATCCTGCAGTACACATGAGTAGCTATCCACGATAAACAACTCAACTTTGTTGCGCAAGGCACAAGTTGCAAAGACCATGCAATAAAAAATAAATCATTACTGTTGCATGCAACATGCTGCGTGGACCCATCATTCCCGTACATTTGAAGTAGCATGCCTCATGCAACAAGCATCACAGCTGTAGCAACAAATATCTTTCTGCAGGAATGTCTTTATTGAGTTGCGTTTCAATGCAACATGCAGAGGCTAGCTCCTGCTCACGGCGTCTCCGACACGAGAGTTGCTCAGTTTGCTGCTGTTCCCTCTCAGAATCACACTTTTCCCGCCGCTGCAGAGTTAGAAATGACGTCATCAGAACGTTTACTGTGCGAAGCGCGCAAAAACTTACCCATCACTGCAGCTGGACAGTGTGTTGAGGATATTAGTGTAGGCATCGCTCTTGCAATAGTCTCCTCCTTCCTCCGCGGCACCGCAGCTCCTCCATGTGTCTGCAAAGTTTGCAGCCATGCTTGTCGTCATGGAAACGCAATGAAACCGCGCATGCGCACCACTTCAAATATGCAAGATTGTAATCATGATGGCATGGGTAATGAATGAAAGGAGGGGTGAAATGATGACTGCATGATGATGACTAGATACCACATAGTTTGTTGTAAGCCCACAGGTCCACGGGAACAACGTTCTCTTTGAATTTGGAAAAATTCACAATTTCGTCTCCGTTGGAGAAGGGTGTCACTATTTTGCCGTTGAATAGCACTCGCAGGTAGTATGTCGGTGTCTGCATGAAAGGGGCCCCTTTCCAGAGCTCGAAGGAGAACCTGGAGGCATAGGGGACCCACTCCTTTAGCGGAAGCCCAAGGGCCTTGAATATACGATTCAACACAGAGTCATGCGTAAATGTGAGCATTATCCTGTACTTTAACGAGGATTGGTCCCCTGCAATTATCCTTTCAATTGGTTCCAGCAGTGAGTGTTTCAGGAACGGAGTGAGGGCCAGGAGCGAGGAGTTTGGTGGGTATCTGCTGGCCATGCTCCAGTCGGCATACTCAAACATACCTCTACCCAGCCTGCAATCGATGCAAACTCCATCCTTTGTGCAGGGAAGAATCGAGTGCGAGTCCAGTGCATGGCAGCCCCTAGTAACAAACTTATCAAATAAATCAGTCCATTGAATTGCAGGGGTAACGGATAGATTAAACAAGTCGACGACTTTATCGTACATCCAGTGAAAATCTTTTTCCCTAGCGTAATACCCTCTTTTCTCGTTCTCAGTTTCCCTCACATTCCGAAGATTTCTACAGGGTTTGTAAGTAAGTGGTACACCATTCGGAGGGGCTTGACTTAGGCCACCTGGTTCTATGTGGATTTTTACCATCTCGCGAATTTTCGGGACGTTTGGAACAAATCCCAGTAAAAACGCGCCGGCACTGCGAATGGTCCTGCGGAAGTCGGTGCTCTGAACGTGTATGTCGGTGGTCATGTCCATGCTGGGGAAAAGTTGCCCGTACGACATTTGGAGTAAGGTACCCAGGTTGTGGAGTTGGAGGAATCCGCGAGCGGTGAGGTCCCCCACTCCACAGGTCATGTTTACGGACCCGGGGTGGAGTCGGAGTCCCCCGTTTCTGATGTTGCCGGGGCCGACGGGTGACAGCGGGGGGAAGTCCTTGAGACCGGTCCATAAATTAGGTCGGTGTGCCCCCCACGTCTCCGAACGATGAACGATACCGGCAACGCCACACTTGTAGTCGACGCTGGGGTGGCCAATCTCCGGTTTTGTCGTGTCGGGTGTCCTGTCGCCGTGACGAATAATCATGTGGGTATGAACGAGGTCAAAGGTCCCAAAGTCGGGGTGCGGCTGGGAGAGTTTCCCCTCTTGGGTAAGCTCCACGTTCTTCGGTTCCAGCAGGGAAGCGTGGCAGTAGTGCCGCAGTCGTTTCCGGTAAGGGACACATTTGCGGGAAAAGTTGCGACCTGCCAGCTGCTGTTCTGAAGGCCATTTATTCTCTCTTTGCTGGCGAGCTCATTACTTCCAGGCAGGGTGGAGTGCAGTGCAAAGTAGGCTACACCTAAATACAGATAATGGGGGATAATGAGGAATTGGGTAATGAGGAAGTCAAAGTGAGTCAGTGAGGTTTTGTTTCATGTCAGTTGTTTCAGTCCTCACAAGTAAGTAGTAGTATCAACAAGAATAGTAGCAGTTGGCTCTTCTTCCGCCTCCGCATTACTACTTCCATGGAGAGGAGAGACTTTGCACTACCGGTCATCAGGTAGCCCCCACGTTTTTTTCTTGCGGGGACCTGGAGACCCGTCCCCCATTCTCCGTGTTATGTTCGGATATCCACTCCGTATTACTCCCGTCCCTAGATTACTTATCTCCGTCTTATTCCGGATACTTTATGACACGTGCAGTAAACGTGCAGAGAACGTGTATTTGCATTCCCCGCGCATAAAACCTGCTTGACGACACACGTTGCCGTCATCGAGCTTTCTTTCTCTCGCACACACCGGAGGGAAGCGGACGGCGCATTCGTTTCAGCTGTCAGTGGGAGGGACGTAGACGGCAGCACGCTCTCCCTCTCTTTCTTGTCACCCTTGGTGAAATGGTGAACACCTTCTCGCGCTCACGGAGAAAAGCCAACACAGCGGCCAAGACCGTCTGTTGTACGAAAACGAAGTACCGTCATCCTCCTTACGTATCACGACACGTTCACGCTACCGCTCCCTGTAGCTATGTCTGTGGAGCCGTTGACTCATTTCATCGCTGGCGGGTGAGTGCAACTGGAGGGATTCTTGGCGCGCAAAAACGCGCGGGTTCTTTACAAAAGAAAGAACCCGGTTGTAGGATCCCGAGAGCTTTTTTGTGGGTTGCATGCTGCAGTGCTTGGTGGAGCAAGGGATCAAATTTGCAAGAAGACTAGTGACGTGGGGTGTTCTGTTTCTCTTGTAGGTTGGCTGGTGCTGCAGGCACAGCTGTCACGTGCCCGTTGGAAGTCGTGAAGACTAGACTCCAAGTAAGACTCTGTTTACAATGATAGATAACGAAAATGACAGTTCTTTTTCTCTCCCTTTTCTGGTGATTTGACAGACGGAGGTGGGTCAAGGGTTGATAAGACACTATGGCCTCCAGCCAGCTGTGAGTGTAGCTGGGAGTATGGAAGGGCACATGACTACTGTACTAGTCCCAAGAGGACTAGCGTATGCGAGGTGAGCAGTGCACAATGGTTGGGTCAATTTGTCGTCTTTCATGTAGTTACCTTAATAATACATTTTGAGTGGGAGTAATGTATTACTGCCAGTATTCATGAGAGTGTTTGTGTTTTAACGAGATTCACTGGTGCTCCATTTGTTGCGGCAATCAATCATGAAATCCTGTTTTTTTCTTCTTCTTGTACACGCACTCGCTCTATATGGCAGGCACTTATTTCAGACAGAGGGTGGTTTGGCATTCTTCAAGGGCCTTGCTCCCAGTCTCTTTGGCATTATCCCTACCAGGTACTAATACAATTTCATGCTCTATGGGTATAGTACATTTTACTTGAGTGCGTGCGTGTGTGCGTGCGTGTGTGCGTGCTTGTGTTGTGCAAGTGAGAATGCTCCCCTAATGATTGTTTTGTTTGTTTTCCGGATTCCTCTTCCTGTGCAGGGCACTCTACTTTACAGCTTACTCGCAGGCAAAACAGTTCTATAACAGTGTGTTCAGGTACGAGAGTGCAGCCGTGCATTTGGCATCTGCTGTCACTGCAGGTTAGTCAACAAACTCTCTCTCTCTCCTTTCTCTCGCTCACACAAAAAACACACTCTTATTCATTTGACTTTCTGTTCTCTCTGGCAACTGCAGGTATAACAACAACTACAGCCACAAGTCCCATCTGGGTGGTGAAGACCCAAATCCAACTAGATACCAGGTGAGCTGGTGGACCTGAAATTGTAGCAATAGTTGAGTGGTCAGACAATGGAAGGCTGAGAATTCAGCTGTGCTTTCCCTGTAGTTCCTAATGACAGCTACTAGCAAGAGGCCTTATCTGTTCATCAACCATGTACATGTGGTCTTGTTTGATGTGTACAGCTGTTGACAGTGGCTAGTGAAAATTCATCCCTCCCTCTTCTCTCTCTCCTCTCACTCTCTGCGTACCATTCAAACAGACCGGGAAAGTCTCTGGGGCCCAGGCGGTGCATAAAGAGGATATACAATCTCGATGGACTGAGAGGATTCTACAGAGGACTGACAGCGTCGTACGCAGGTCAGCGATTTGCACTCAACTCAGTGTTGTTACATACACGTGTAGGTACACTACATTGTAGCTAGTGCAAGTATGTTTACAATTGCAATAAGTTTGCCTAATGTCGCAAGACGGTACAAGCATGTGTGTTTAGTTGTGCTGCCTGTTGAAGGGTGTCCCCTGCCATTGTGTGTTGATTTGGCTCCAGACTGTGCTTGAGAACAAATAGCTCATTGTGCTACAGTCAATGGTCTTTGTATGGGAAACACTGCTGTCTATTGGTAGGACTCCTTGTATGGGCTATTGATGCTGGATATTAGCTGGAAAATTAAGTGGTGACCAATTTTCAACACATGCCATGTGCGTTTTTCCCCACAGGAACGCTGGAAACTGCGATTCATTTCGTGATCTATGAACACATGAAGAAAGTCCTATCGAGCAACAGACAGAGGGACCTGGAGTTGACCGAGTGCATGTTTGCCGCCGCCGCTGCCAAAATGACTGCCTCGTCTCTCTGCTACCCTCACGGTGAGCTTTTTGAAGAACTCGTTGCCCCTTCCCCTCTCATTCGTGTTTCCTTGCAATTGCTTGTTATCTTGGGCTGGTGTTTTGAAAGTAGATTTAGGCCCTGGTGGTGTGGTATGTACTGCTTGAAGATTTTTCCTTTTTTCCCCTCCCTTTCCTTGCCCCTCCCTTTCCTTGCCCCTTTCAATTGCTTGTGCTAGCTATGTAGCATTTGGTTCTGATTTGCTACTGAGCCTCCCCTTTGTCCTGGCACTGTGGTTGACCTCGGGCATCTCTCAGAATTTGACCTTTGGCTATCAGACCTCTATTGTGTGCATATCTGGTGTAGAATTTTAAAGGTTTGGAATGCTGGTTGATTAGTGGGGAAACCCAGGTAATTATATAAGCAGGGTGAAATTGTGATATTCCTTTGCGTTTTACTTATTCCCCCCTTTCTTCTTTCCCTCTCTCCTGCCCTCCCCTCTCCCACTGGCAGAGGTGTGTAGGACGAGACTACGACAGAACGTGACGAGATCAGAGCGACGCTACCACAACTTCCTCCAGACTCTCCGCGTGGTGTGGTTCGAGGAGGGAGTCAACGGACTCTACGGTGGGATGGGGGCTCATCTCATCAGGGTCGTCCCCAATACCGCCATCGTTTTCTTCACCTACGAAGCCGTCGTCAGAATCTTGGGCAGTGGGAGAGACTGTTGAAACTTTCTCTGTGCGACAGAAGGACCGTGTTTGCATGTGTTGTGTAAAGTCATCTTCAACACATTCAACAGAGTCATGTGCATATCATGCACCCAGTCATTTACCTCCCCTCTCCGTCCCTCCCTTTTTTGCCCAGCTCTCCGGACCTTATGAGTTGGGCAGCCATTCTCTTTGTGTGTTGTTGTGTTTGTGTCAGTTTGTGTGTGTGAAAGTCCCCCAGCCTACCAAGAAGAAACACTCACTCACTTTCTCTCAATCTTGGTGGGTTTTCACTTTTGGCAGCATATCACCACTACCCCCTCGTTCTCCTTAGGCAACAACTACTCTCAGATATAAAATTTGTGCACCCTGTGTAAAGTTGACCCAAACTCTCATTTTTCAACCAAATGTCACCTATCAAAGTCATCTATACTGTATGATTATGCTGCAGTGTTCCCATCTCAAAATCAGTGGTCATTAATTTTACTGGTAACTTTGTACCACTGGTGTATAATTGTACTGTCTTTTGTGTGCCTGCACCCACAGGTGTCAATCATTAACATTTTTGCAACAATTCTTGTGTTATTGCGAATGAATTTACACCCAAATTATTCAGAGTTCACTCATTTTGGATATTCACAGCCTGCTTGCACCTCGAAGCGCATGCGCGTGAATACACATGTTTATGCGCATGCGTGGGTTACTGGTTACCTGGGAAACAGCGAAGGGGGCGTGGTCGACCACGTGGTGGCAGCGGTGATCGTGAGTCGGGGAGATGGCTGCCGCTGAGCCGTTGGAGGATGGAAACGTTCTCCAGAGCTTCTGGGGACTCGCGTCCACGGACGATAAAGAGAGGATAGACTCGGCTCGTGACCTCCTGACGGCGCTATCCAACAAACAAGTCAGTATCCCTGGAAATGACGTGTTAGATGAATTCTTGGATTGTATCTGAGCTCTTTCACGTCATAGGAAGAGATTGGCGAGGAAGCAGTGGCACCTGACATTCGTTACTCTCTCCAGCGGCTAGTGCGGGGACTGGCCTCGGGGAGAAAGAGAGCGAGACAAGGCTTCTTTGTGGCTCTGACAGAGGTAAGTAGGGATCACGTGATGCTGGTTTATAGGACTCTTGAGCTAGCTTGCCATGTTGTTTCAGTTGCTGGCAATGTGTGAGGAGGTTACGGTGGAAGAGGTTTTGAAACTAGTCGACACACATCTTCAGCCCCACAAGGGAATCAGGGGAACCGTGAGTATTGTTGTTTCTTTCTTTTTTTCTCTCTCTCTTATTAATCATTCCCTCTCAGTCTCTTCCTTTTTGCCTTCCCATCCATTTTTCCTGCCTTATCGTTACATACACCCAACGCAGGAGGAAAAAGGTGTCTATTTTGGCCGTTTCTTTGCACTATCTGCCATCTTTCTCTCTGGAAGACTAACACTAGAGGTATATACTGTATTACGAGATACGTGCACTATAATAGTAGAAATTTTGAACATCAACCATCATTGGCTCACAAATTTTTCGTATTCCAGACTCAATGCTACTGAATGAAAAATCGCATTTTTTTTCTTGCCTACCAAATTTTTCGTACAACACTGATTCTGTTAGGAAGAGGTTTTGGAAGTGACCAGGCAGTTTGGAGCCATTGCTGCCAAGAAATCTTTCATGAGCGAGATGTGTGCCGTTGCCATTGGCAACCTGGTCGAAAACGCACGTTTCCATAGCAACGGCGGAGGAGATTTGAGGCTGGAGGTTGTGAGGGAGGGGTGGGGTGGAGTGGGGGAGGGGTGGTTGGGGTGTACTCCGGAGCGACTCTACCTCGTACTCCGACTGGACAAGATACTCCGCGGGGAGTCTTGGTGGGCGGAGCTTATTAGGAGCAAGTGGAGTGACGCGGACTATGACATCATCACCAGCAGTCAATTGGACTCCGTTGCATCCATCTTAGAGGTGGGGTGGTAGAAAAACGAGGTACAATGTACCTTAGTAATAAAGGAATTTATCTGCCCGTCTCAATATGGGCTGAATTTATACTGGCTGTGTGTTCTCCCAGGCCTCATGTGGCTCTCGTTCAGGTCTCCATTCGGTGTGGCCACGTGTGATTGACGTTGTCAGAGACACTCCTCTCTTTCACCAGTTCTGGCAGAAGATAGTAGAAGGTCTGTTACACAATATACTGTAGATTTGTTCTTTAATCTCGCACCCTCTTTTAACCCCTTCTTCCCCCTCCCCTCTCCCCTCCACAGAAACATTACTCTCTTCAACCCACAAGAAACAGTTAGTGGCACTAAATGTTCTCGAGTCCCTGATCATGCCTACAATCACGGAATATGAGGTTACAAACATACACCAAACCCTAGGAAGCATTAAACATACGTGTTGTATACTGTTTGTAGGTTGCCGTGGTTTTCAGTGCTGGTATTGTCCGCCGTATTCTAAATAATGCCGCCTCCCCGAGCAGCCCTCTACATGCCTCCATCCAAAAACTGGTACATGTATGAAATGTCTAAATATAGACACACTTGTGATGTAACTGTTACTATTTTTTCACCTTCAAGCTTACTACCGTATCGTCTGCCGATAAACCAGTCGACACTCGTGTAGCTCTCTTTGTCCATATACAATACAGGTACATATTATGCAACATTACGTAATCCTTCTGTGGTGACAAAGCTAGCTAGCTCTACAGTATGCATTTAGAATAATAATAATATGTAATGAAGCACAGAGCGTTAGACCAGCTATTGTCTGGGATTTGTAGATTAGTTTACTGGACTTCCACTCACTACATATGGCTGAGTTTGACTCCTGACAGAAGCTGGTTCTTTCCCTTTCTTGTATGTCTAAATAGTGAGCATTTTTTCCTAAAACTGGAGGGATTAGTAAAAGAATATGTGAATATGATATCCATTGACATTTACTTTATTCTTGTGTCGACTTTCCCCCCTACTGCAGAAGTGGTGGAAGATTTGATGCTCTAACGAAAACCGAAACCACGAGACGTTTACTGTCCTCCGTTAGTTGATTGTTGTTTTTTCAACTTTTCGTTTCAACATTCATCTCTGCAGCTGGATCGAGGAGGGGTAGACCGCCTCATTTCTAAATTGGAAGAAATTTTTCGTTCTCCAGAGATTCTGTCAGTTCATTATGACAGGTCTGGGGAGAAGTCCGATTTTTGGGTTTTCAGTTTTGTTTGTTTCCGTAGTGACGACCCCTTGAGTGAACCCCACATGGTGCAGACGTGGGTTGGAGATCAGGTTAGTGATGAGTCACTCTTTACATTGCAGGAAAAGTTTGGAGGCTGTTTGCTATTCCCTTTCTGTTGTCAGTTTCTGGCCATTGTGAAGAACAAGTCGCTCCCAAAGAGCAGCAATTCGCTCCTCGATGTTGCGAAACTTCTCCTCTGCCACGCCCACTATTCGTCGTCCTCGGACCAGCTCCAAATTGCAGCTGTCGAGCCGCAGGTTCAACGGTTGTGCTCCACACGCCTCATGGGGGTACTGGCCGAACTTTGCACTCTGACCACACCCACAAAACCTACCAAGAAAGGTGACATGATGCACCTTTGCTTGAAATCTACATTATTTGTGCACTTGCACATAAAAACCGCGACACTGCAAAAAATTGATTGGGTATGTACAAGAATAAGCCAGACAGCTTCTCCATTCAATCTTGGACCATTTAGTAGCGTACTTGCTAAAATTATATAAACCCTCATCCCCTTTTGCCTATTGCTACAATGCTTTGGGGTGTCTAAGGCGCAAAAGATTTCACAACTATAACTAATCAGCAGGTGAGGGAGAGGAGAGAAAGAGACAGAGACAGCCAGGGAGGATGGAGGAGACTGGCTGGCACTATCTGGTGTCCCTTGTCCTGTACGCTCAGCAGCTGCCATCACATCCTCTTCAGAATAAGGTCTGCGACTTGGCAAACTGGCAAGTTTTTCGACGCCCGATTTTTTCTGTCTCAATCCATGAAAATTTCTGCGATAGAAAGAAACCTGTGCAGTTTGGACATAACTGAGACCATTATTTTTCAGCAAATTTCTTCCTTGCAAAACTAGCACCTTGGAAATTTGGCGTTGTGCAATTATATACCAGTCTTCTGTTGTACATATTATGCTGCAGGCTTTAGCAGCCTGGGAGTATGTGGGGAGTGTGCTGAGTGAAATGGAGGAGAGGGGTGACGGTGGGCTTCAATTGGAAGAGAGCGCCTTCCAGCTTCTGTTTGCAGCTGTTGGTCTGGAGCTGTTGAGAGATCCACAGTCCGCAACTGAGACTGTTGAGGTTGGTAGATTGTAGTGCATTGAAGCTGTCTACTACATGTATTAAATTCTGAAGGACCTCAGACAGTGTTACGAAGACATGAAGCAAGAGATGGTGAAACAGGCAAAGCCGCAAACCAACGAAACTCCTCGCAAGAAGAAAGCCGAAGAGAAGAAGGAGGAAGATGATGAGAGTGAAAGTTCGGCGGGGTGGGTGGAGGTTCTGGTGGACCTGCTGCTGGGACTGGAGTCGCGTCAGTCTCAGTTGTGGAGGAGTGTGGTGGAGCAGGTGTTCAGGGGGATCGTCCACAGAATCACTCCTGGAGCTGTGCAACTTATTGCTAACGTGAGAGAGTAGTATGTATGTATGATAAGTGGTGGGGGGTAAAGGAGAGAGAAAGAGAGAGAGAGAGAGAGAGAAAGAGAGAGGGAGAGAGAGAGAGAGAGAGAGAGAGAGGGAGAGAGAGAAAGCGAGAGGGAGAGAGAGAAAGAGCACGTGTAGTAAGGTTGGTGGGTTAGTGAGCAATACGTACTATGATTGAGGCGAACTCTTCAGTTGGTGGGAGTTAAATTTATGCATCGATGTTGCATACAGGGTTTTTGTTTGTCTGTGTGGCGAGGAAATATTGACAGCCCGCTTTATTTTTGTTTGTAAAGGTGTTGAGGCCGCAAAAGAAGGAGGAACTGATGGAGAAGGAAGGAGAGAGTGAGGAAGAGAGGAGGAGGAGGAGGAGGAGGAGAGTGGGTCAGAAGAAGAAGTTGATCCTAAACTCAGAGAAGACGTAATGAAGGCTCTCGGGAGTGTGGCCGTCCAATCGGAGGATGAGGTGCCCCGATTTCGTCCCATTAACCGATCACCCATGCACTCTGTTGTCGCCCTCAGAGTGATGTGTCAATGAGCGATGGAGAAATGGAGCGAATCGACAAAGCTCTCTCGGAGGCCTTTCGCAGCAGAATGCAGGAAAAATCCAGCAAGAAAGGTAAAATTTTGATGGCCAGAGTCAAAATGTTTTTCACTTCGTGTGTGCTTTTTCAGATGAAGCAAAGTCTGTAGTTCATTTCAAGTTGAGGTAATAAATCACAATCTGGAATTTTCATACTGCCATACTCCCATGTTTGGTTCCAAACTGTAGGGTACTGGATCTGGTCCAGGTCCTACTGCAACGTCTCCATTCCAGTCCAGTCATACTGGTTGGTATGGAATGAGGACCGTGTGTCTGGTTAACCTCCGACCTCTGCAGGAGCTGATTCTTCCTCTGTATCACATGATGCGATCGGCTCGGAACAAGCCAGACCACGCCCCCCTCGTTAGCAGGGCGGTGCCACTGTTCTGCAACCGACTCTGCCGCTCCAGAAAGGTGCATTCTTTTCCTGTTCAACTGTATTTTCACGAATGCCCAAAATTCACGAAATTTGCGACAAAACTACATAATCCGCAATAGAATAGCAGCCCTTCTCACACTTCTTTCTCTTCCTTCTTTCTATAATATGTAAGTAAGGTGTGAGCTGTTATTTTATGTTAACTCAGATTCCCAAGGAAGAATTAGATGAGAGAAATATACATTCAATATTGCAGCAAATGATCCAGTGCCTTTATAAAGGTTAGTTGGAAACGTTCGAGGAATGGGAAAATTTTCACACTTTAGGTCCATCTGCAGAGGAAAATGTTTGAGATGGCCTGTGAAATTTTGTTGGCCGGGATCATTTTTGTGTATACACCGTTAAATTTTTTAATGGAGGAACTTTTTATGTGCATGCGAATTCATCAATGGCTGTTGTGTTCTTTCTGGTCTCTCAGACAATGACAAGCAGAGTGCTCGACTTCTCACGGAGGGAATTCTGTTTCTGGTGAGCCTAGCATACTATATATCCTTTCTGTAATTAATGGGGGAAAAGGCCGCCCAGATTCACAGCGTTCATAATATCGCGTGATACAATCATGTCCATACGTTGGGCAGTGCGGATTTGGAAACTGTGGAAACATAGAGTGTGGATTTGGATAATGTCTACACATAGAGGTGTAAGTACATATTCTGTATGTACTATGGGAGAGCTACAGATTGTAGGTAGCGGAAATTGCACTTATGGAACCATATGCTCACGTTGAAGCTGTACTTTTATTACATGGGTGCACTATATAGAATAGCTCTTTCTCTCTCCTCTACCCTCCCAGATGAAAGTTCTCATCTCTTTGCCCCCGCCCCCTCCCCCCATCTCCCCACTCACCACACGCTCCGGTCGCAAGAGAAAGAGAGAACTACAGGAGACTGCCCCTGCATTGTTTGGGTCGTTAGATGTTGCCACGGTGACCGGATGGCTATCAGACGCACTCCATGACTACCTCGTCAAGAAGTAATTTAATTTTAGTTACTGCAATTTTATGATCCATTTTGTGTATATATTAACCCAGAAATTCACTTGTCCATCTTCAAGTTTTCTTTCCAATCTTTGAACGATATCCGGTGAGTTGTTTAAGTCACACGATTGTCACGTGATGATATACCTTGTTGTTTACGAAGGCGTTGGCATGGCGACTGGTGGAGAGGATGCTAGCTGACTTACCCAATGCGGGGAACAGGTTCAGAAAGGTCAGTTTTCACTGGAAGCAACTTGAATATTGTAGAAACCTTAAAATGAGAATTCCAGCCATTCTCAAAATTGCAACGTTTTTTTGTGACTATGAGATGATGCCTGTTTGCTCTGATCCAGCTACAAGGGCTGGAGCTGTTATGCAGACTTCTGGGTACGAAGATCAGTGAAAAGGTTAAAAAAATTCTCTACAACTGTGCAGAAAAATTTGCACTTGTTAGAGATAGTTTTGTGTGGGTAACGTCAAATTTTCACTGTTCATTCAGTGAAATTTTTGAGGCAATAGACTATATTTGCTCACAAAGTTTTCGCCTGTCGATGAATTAACAACAGGAGTTTGTGATGGTTGCCCTGCCCTGTGTCGGTGGTGTGGCGTCTTTCTGCCGGACAGAGCTCTCGGACTGGCTCGAGAAACCCGACAAACTGGTAAAACAGGTTCTCAAGCTGGTTTCAAAGCTGGCAACCTCTCTCAAGGAACACAATCAGGTATAATACCAGCTATGGAGCCGTAAACTTCACAGGTAGACACTTTAGCAAACTTGACGTTAACGGCCGCTTTTCACCCCTCTATATACAGTGGAGTGAGTCCTGGCAAGAATCTCTAATTGGAGCCCTCCATCACCACCCCGTCTCCAACAGTGAGAGGAGTGAGGGTGTGGGGACAGTGAGGGGTGGAGAGGGGACGAGGAGGGAGTGGGAGAAGGTGAGGGAGGAACTGGAGGCAGAAGAGGTCGAGGAAGGAGCTGCTAAGAAAAGAAAAAGAGGTCCTCGCAAGAGAACCAAAAATAAAAAATAAAAGTTTTATGTTTTATATAGATTGTCTTTTTTTGGAAAAACTTTTTGTGAAATTGAAAATTCTAAGTGGACTGCTGAATGAATGTCATGTGACGATCAGGTGATCATTTCTTGAGACGTCGTCGCAAGAATCGGTGTTTTTTTCTCCACTTCTTGTACTTGTGTTGGTTCATCTTCCGTCGCCGCTTTTTCAGTACACTGCTGGTCTCCATCTCCGTTGGCAACAGTGTGGGGGCGGGGCAACCTGCAGGATGATGTCATGATGATCTATGTGCAATCGAACCTGGTCACCAATCCCATGCATATTAGTGATGTGGGTTATAAATTGCATGCGTTTTTGGGGAAGAGAAAGGCAGAGTGGTTCCAATCCCTAGCACACACCTACCTTTGTAAGTGAGAGCTGTTGTCGTGGAGATGCAAGTGGGTGTGTATGTTGCCATGGTAATAGAGAATGGACTAAACACTAATCTCAGTAGGGGTTTCTCAGTCGGAACATGAGAGTCCAAAGCTCGGGAACAGTCATCTTTGCCTCCCAGGCTCAGATACGGATAACAGACGGAGGTGGGCATATGGACACGTGAGTCCTTGCTGCTCACGTGAGCCCTGAAGACGAGGCTGCAGAGGGAGCGGGTTCTTGCAAGTTGCGCAAAATTCGACGGCTCCGTGATGTTTGTTCTGACGTGTAGCCATCGCTGGATGATGATACCGCACACTCTACACGACGACATAGCCTTAGCGTGCTTCTCTTCAGTGCGTGCCCGCCTCCTCCCACTTATTGCGCAAGCGCGAGACTAGACCTAGACACACACACTCTGTGCATTCACACGTGCTCCATCATCGCGCATGCGCAAACCCGATTGGCCCCGCGAGAAGCGTGTGGGTCGGGTAAGTGATCGATTCTGGGCACGAGGAGAGCATTCGGTGGGACTCGGTGAGTTTGTAGAGCGTCTGGAATCGGGTGAACGAACGGCGGGAGATAGAAGGCGGTTTGGGGTCGTGGGTAGTTGACAGCTGAGTGATATATGTACGTCTGACTTTACTACGTCCTTGCATGCTGCTGGCCGATGAATCCCCTCGTATAAGGCTGCTATTGGAAGAAGTCTGGCCTTAGCGCGGCTCGTATGACGGAATCCCTATCGAGTATATACTTCCAGGGGGTTTGCGTTTCGCGAATGCGTTACCATTACCCCACCCTTTCTCTTACTATCTACTCTTTACCCTTCTTCTGAGAAGCAGATATGGCTGATGACGACGATTTTACGACGGCTTCGGCTGGTGCGTCAGAAACATACCCCGCCCAATGCTCCAGTCTGCGTAAAAACGGTTTCGTCATGATTAAGACTCGCCCATGCAAGATCGTGGAAATGTCGACCTCCAAGACGGGGAAACACGGGCACGCCAAGGTCTCCCTTCCTCCCTGCTGTCTTCGTTTCAGTTTTACCTCTCAATTTCTCTCTTCCTCCCTCTCTTCTTTTACGTCAGGTTCACTTGGTTGCACTGGATATATTCACGGGGAAAAAGTACGAGGATATCTGCCCATCGACTCACAATATGAACGTACCTCACGTAAAACGCATCGATTATCAGGTGAATTATTCATATACCAGTACTACGAAACACCCATTGTACTGTGTCCTTCTAATTTTACTTCTTTTCCTTTGCCGCGTGTGTGTGAAAAGTTGGTGAATATCGAAGAAGGTTTCCTGTCCCTCATGGATGATGGCGGAGACCAGAGGGCCGATATACGTCTCCCAGGTAAAAAATATCGCGCACTGGATGATATCTGAGCAAAGATTGCACCATTTTATATGGCATGCCCAGCAAGATATATTATTACCCTCGGCGCGCATACGCAGCGAGGGTACAGTAGTTGGGTCTGTCTGTCTGTCTGTTTGTTTGTCTGTTAGTCTACATCTCACTCCTCGAACGTCTGTTCGTCCCAGAAACGATAGCATCTACCCAACGGGCGACGAAGGTCAGAAAATATGTGGGGTTTTCTCTGAAAATGCTCCGTTGCAGAGCTAGAGCGCGAAAAAGCCAATATGTAAAATACGCAACGGACGGGAAGGCTTACCGCGGTCTGATCGATCCGCGTGCTCTGCGTACCTCGGAGGCACCAGAAGATGCAACGCAGGGCGTGTATCGCCTATCTAGTAGCCGCGTCAGACTCTACGCGAGCTGGCAAGAGACCACGAGTAACAGCTAAAACTAAACCCAGCCCATCGATTAGTGATACAGCGCATGCGTTTACTCACGCGTGCGCGTCACAATGCGCCGAGGGTTTGCACTTCAGTGCTTTTCATATAATTATGACTTTGGCATAATTTTTCTAATTTTTTCCCTCTCTTCTCTCCACCTTCCCTTCTTCCTTTCTTCTTTTTCCCTCTCTTTCTCTGGATCCTTGCCTCCTTTCTTCACAGAGGGTGACCTGGGAAAGGAGATTCAGGACAGATTTGATGCCGACGAGACGTTTATGGTCACAGTCCTCAAAGCCTGCACCGAAGAGGTAGCCATTGCCACAAAGGCAATGACCAAATAAGGGCATTCTAAATAATAGCTTTTTGGGCCCTGGCATTGTTTATAGGCACAAGTCATTAGCAAAAATTGTTATTGTATTATGTCACCGTCTCATAATGACTGGACTAGTGTTATGATTTGTTGTGTAATATGTATTTCAATAATCAAAAATGTGGCGTTTCATATTATTATGTACAGGGAATTTAATTTTGTATTGGTTACATAATCATATTTGTGGTCATGTGACTTGCATGTGATACACATCTGCTCTTCCCCACCCCGTGGATTGGGGTTTGGGGGAGGAGCTTCAAAGCACAGCAAGACACAGAATATAATTTTGATGATACAGAACCCAAAAAATCTGGACAGACAGACAAATTTTTGAATCCGCTATATACACTACAATGAATTTAAAATTTTGAGTTAAAATTTTTATTTCTTGCTCTCAATAGCGCAGGTTGTGGTGCACTCTTGTTCGGGCACTTCACTGGCTGGCCTGAAAATTCACAAAAAATGAACGGGAAATTTCTAGAGAAATCATTTCTCGCAAGTCTTACGTGGCGTCATCGACGCAAATGGTGGTGCGCTCTTGAGGCCCTTCACCGGCTGGGCTGGAGAATACACACACGTCATGCAAAAGACTGTGCATCAACTTACACACATACACCCTCGGAAAATATATAATCTCGACGTTTGTTTAGAGTAGGTAGAGTGCTCCTTGCCTTTACCTCATAACTATAATATATACTTTTCTAAGCTAAATACGCTACGAATGCTGACAGAATACACAGTGCCACGAGTAGAAGTAAATTTTGGACTGATCCCTAACGTAAAAAAAAAATTGATAAAATGTTTCTTGCTGAAACATTAGTATCTAACCTTTTGCTGGCATTCTCCTGCTTGAGCCCAAGTGCTTCCAGGATGACTGCGTTAGCGACGTGATCACCAGGGGTTTCCTCGCGATGATTAAGAAGCACCTGCTCGCCTCCCTTGGTTACGATGAGGAGCCCGCCATTTTGTAGCCCGTCGCCAGATAAATTTCCCGAGATATTCTCGGCTTTAGCCTGTAAAATGTATCACACATCCACAAAAATTTTAGGGACGGCTTAAAACTTTACATTGCTGACTGCTTTTCTTGATATGGCACTAAGAAGAGCCTTCCAGATGTTGAGCCAGTTGAATCTCTTGTAGCCAAGATCTTCGTAAGTCTTTTTCTTTTCGTCTACATACACTTCTGTAGGGAGATAAAGGAAGGAAGGAGGTAAGGGGACGAGATAATTCAAGTCACACTCTAGCTGAGGCGGGATTATGCAAGTTCAAGGCTTCACCACCTTTACTATGCAACTGCCATCATGTGACGGCATCTCACACACATTGTAACACCAAGTACGGGTAATAGGCTATGTATATATTGGGAATGGTTGTACCTGGCGACTTAGATGTATGAGTAAAATTTGCTTCTTACACAAGCACTGTAATATATACCCCATTCAAAAAACAGCCAAATAAAAGGACAAATTCTGGCTAACAAAGGTTCTAATGTATGTTTATATTACTATATATACATACACCAGAAAAGCCACACTACAATGGTGCCATTTACAACAGATATAATGCTGAGCTGGGTGACCTCACAGCAGAAATCATCATCTTTATATATAGAGCCCCGTTGCTGTAAGCATACAAGTAGTACGAACAAGGATGACATTACGTGCACTATGGAAACGGGGCAAAAATTTCTCTATGGGGTCTATCGCTCTGGGAGCTTACCGCCATCCAAGAACCGCTGTTTCACAAACTCCTCTGCCCCGAGCTGCTCCAAACCCACACCCACGAGCTTTACACCGTTTGCGTCCAACGTCGGCCGGAGAGTGCTGATTCGCACGGCTCCGAGCCGACACAACTGTCACCCAAATCGCCGCAGAAACATGACGATAGTCGTACTGTCTTCCCATAGAGACTCCAGTGGAACATTCTGAGATAGAGAGAAAACACGGGCGGAAAACGCTAGCTCTACGTAATTGTATTGCGTGAAGCGGACTGCGTGCTGACCTCTTTCGTTTTGACGTCCTGCACGACGTTTTTTCCAATCCTCCGGACGATGTCCACGTCTTTCCCGCCTCCTGTCGCCATGTCGGCTGCAGTAGAAGTTCTTGAGGCTCTTCTAGATCCCGTACACGTCCGCAATAGCGTCTCCGCGCGACCACCGTACGCAAGAAGCCCGGTTGCGTTGTGCCCTGCTCGGATCGATGTTCCAACTCTGCGATGTAGGCGGCTTGCGAAAAGCATGCAGGGGGCTTCAAGGGACTAGGGAGAGCCCACACCACCACAGCACACAAGTGAGCTAGCCAGAGACAGAGCACGTCCGTTTTGCGCACCAAACTGCGTAAAGGTGCGCACACACACCCAACGCAGCTCGGTTACGTAACTTCGGTGGAAGTGAAGTGCGCATGCGCGTAGGTGCGAGGAGGTGGAGAAAACCAGCGAGCGAGCGAGCAAAAAGCAGAACGAACAAGCGAAAGAAGAGAGGAAGACATGGCGTCGAGGGGCAAGACAGAGACGGACAAGCTGAAGCACAATCTGGAGGAGCAGCTGGACAGACTTATGGCTCAGCTACAAGACTTGGAAGACGCCAAGTGAGTGTTAGCGCCTCAGTAGCTAATCTATGGTGTGTTGGCTTCTTAGAGAGGCCGTGTACACTGTACTTGGCCTATAAAATCTTATACTAATATGGTATGGCACTCTAAAAGACAGTTTGGCATGCACGTCAAGCAGGTCCCTGGGTAAATACTGTGTTTGTGCTGTTAATTACCTCCTTTATTTCTCTCTCCCCTCCTCCTCTGCCCTCCATCCTCTCAGAGAGATCATGGAGGAGGCGTCTACTCGCATTCTCCTCTCCTACAGTGGGTTATTTCCTCACTACGTGTTTGTCTACAGCGTCTCAGGTATCTCACCTGCGCGGAAGAAGTCATTTGCGCACGCTCCGCGCAGGAGTTTCACTCTCGCAGCGCAGTCTCTCTGCCAACAGCTGGAGCAGGGAAATTTGCCAACGGACGGGGGGGGTGTGGGGGCGGAACAATATATATAATAATATTATAATATAATGATTTATATGACGGGGGGGGGGCGGGGACGGGGGGGGGCGGGGAGGGGGGAGGCGTGGTGCCGGGGTGGGCGGGGGCAGAAGTAAACGGGGGGGGCAAGACAACTCATCTTCAGGTATGGGGAGGAGGGACCTGACGGGGGGGGGGGGGGGGGAAGGGGGGGGGCGGGGTTGGGGGGGGGAGAGGGGGGGGTTGGGAAATGTGGGGGGGGGGGGGGGTGAAACGGGGGGGGGGGAGGGAATTGGGGGCGGGGGGTGGGGGGAATCCAGAGGGGGGGGGGCGGGGGGGGGGGGGTGGGGGGCGGGGGGGGGGGGACAGGAGGGGCGGGGGAATTGAAGGCGTGACGAGTAAGATAAGAAAGAGAGTGGTTGTGGTGAGGGGGGAAGGGAAACGGGGGGGGGGGGGTGGGAGGGGGGGGGGGTGGGGGGGGGGCGGGGGGGGGGGACATGGGTGGAAGGGGGGGGGGGGGGGGGACGGGGGAATTATATAAATGATATTAGGATATTAATATATAATATGGGGGGCGGGGGGGGGGAGGGGGGGGGGGGGGGGACAAAATGGAGGTGGGGGGGGACTGGGGGGGGGGAAATATAATGATATTAAAATTTATTGATATGTAGACTGGGACGGGGGGGGGGGGGAGACAATGGGGACAGGGGGGGGGGGGTACCGGGTGGGGGGGGGGAGGGGGGGGGTTCCGGGGGGGGGGGGGGGGACCTGGGGGGGGGGGGGGGGAGGCGGGCGGGGGGTGGGGGGGGGACGGCGGGGCGGGACGGGGGGGGGGGGGTAGGGGGGGGACAAAAAAGATAAAAAATATAATGGGGGGGGGGGGGGGGGGGGGGGGGGACGGGGGGGACCGGGGGGGGTGACCATTATATGATAATATATTTAATATGGACACGGGACTGACCGAATGTGGGGGGGGGTGGGGGACGGGGGGGGGGGGGTGGGGGGGGGGTGGTGGGCGGGACCAATGGTGGAGACACCTCTCAGCAGAATGCAATGGTGTCAGTAGAGATTCTGTGCTCAAATAAATTAAGATTTGTGCTCCGTTTTATAAGATATTCTTATGAAATGGGTCCTTTGAATAAAGAATATCTCATTGGACGTCTCTGCGTTTGAAATGGAGATGACTTATTGCACACAACTTGCTCGCTTTGCTATTGATGATAGGACTGTGTTTAATAATCGTGCAATGTTTATGATTTCATGTGTGAGCCTATGCTTGTATGTGCAGATATGATGGTATTAGCATGTCAAAGTGTGTACGTTTGCACTCTGTGGGTGCTGTGCTGTAGTCTGTGGTTGCAAGTGTTTTGTTGTGTTGTGTGTTTTGCGTCCGTTTGACTGGGTCTCGTGTTGTGTTGTGTTTGTGAAGGAATTGTAGGCATTCACACTTACACACTTTGTCGACTTCATGTTTACTAGTTCACACCTCTTTTGCTCCTCCCTCTCCTCCTTCTCTAGTTATTACCAGCCTTTCTCTCCGTTATCTTATCCACGCGCCGGAGCCCGCGCCGACGCAACAGGGATGACCAGCCGGCAGCTCAGGCGGCGGCAGAACAGCGCCGCGCCACCGCGCGCCCTGCGCGAGGGGAGGGACCAGCACCGGCGCGCCGGCGCGGAGCACGCGCCTCGGCGCCCGCGACCGCCCGCTGCGAGTAGGACAGCACCTGCGCGCCGGGCGCGGAGCACGCGCCGCGAGACCGCGGGCCGCGCGCGGGCGCGGAGAGACCAGGAGCGGCGCGCCGGCGCTGAGCACGCGCGGAGGCGTCCGCGGACGCCATACGAGTGAGGACAAGCAGGCGCGCAGCGGGAGCACTCGCGCGCGCACGCGGTCCTACTATATAGTATACCAGTGACTTCTCGCAGTACTTTATCACTCTCTCTCTCCTCCTCTCCTGCCTCTCTAGTTATTACAGCCGTCTCTCCGTCTCTAGTCAGCTCTCCTACGTCTGCTCACTCCCTCTCACTCCCTCCCATAGTTATTCCCATGCTTCTCTCCGTCTCTAATCACTCTCCTCTCTCCCTCTCCTCCGCTCTCTAGTGATTACAGCCTCTCTCTCCGTCTCTGATCACTCTCCTCTCTCCCTCTCCGCGCTCTCTAGTTTATTACCAGCCTTCTCTCCGTCTTCTCTTATCATCTCCTCTCTCCCTTGCTGCCTCCCTCTCTAGTTATGACCTATTACCAACCAGCTCTCTCGTCCGTCTCTATCACTCTCCTCTCTCACTCTCCCTCACTCTTCCCTAGTATATGAACCAGCCTTGCTCTCCGTATCAGCTTATCACTCGTCCTCTCGCACCTCTGCCTCCCTCTCTAGTATTACAGATTCGTTCTCCTGTCTCTTATCAATCTCCTCGTGTCTCCCTTGGGGGGTGGGGGGGGGGGGGGGGGGGGGTGGGGGGGGGGGGGGGGGGGGGGGGGTGGGGGGGGGGGGGGGGTGGGGGGGGGGGGGGGGCCCGGCTCCCTCGATAGTTATGCCAGACTTCTCTCCGTCTCTTATATACTATCCTCTCTCCCTTCCTCCCTCTCTAGTTATTACCACAGCTCTTCTCTCCGGCTCTCTATCACTCACTGTCTCCTCTCTCCCGTCTCCTCCTCTACAGGTAGTTATGTACCGCCTTCTCTCCGTCTCTTATCACTCTACTCTCTCCCTCTCGTACCCCTCTCTCGTTAGTTACTCAGCCTTCTCATCCGTCTCTGGTATCACTCTCCTCTCTCCCTCTCCGCCCTCTCTAGTTAAGTACCAGCTTCTCTCGTCTCTTATCACTCGGTCCTCTCTCCATCTCCTCCATCTCTCTAGTTATTACCCGCCTCTCTCGCCTTCTCTTAGACAGCGCTCGCACGCGCACGCGGGTGACTTAGTGCGTCTCCCGACGCTGTGGGATCCAGATTGGACGGAGCACGGTGGTCTCGTCGTCTGAGCTAGCACTCGTCCGACAGTCCTGCTTCCCCTCTCGCCCTCTCTATGTGATTACCAGCCTTCTCTCCGTCTCTTATCACTCTCCTCTCTCCTCTCCTCCTCTCGTAGTGATTACCAGAGCCGCGCGCGCGTCGATCTTAGCACTCGCGCTCTCCGCGTTCCTCCTTCGCTCTAGGTATTACCAGCCTTCCTCTCCGTCCTTAGGGATCACTCGCCTCTCTGCCCTCGGTGCTCCTCTCTGGAGTGATTACCAGGCCTGTTCTCCGTCTATATCACTCTGCCTCTCTTCCCTTCCCCTCCTCTAGATTTATTATTCCAGCCTTCTGCCGTCGCTTATCAATTCTCCTCTCTCCTCTCTCCTCCTTCTCTAGTTAGTTATCGTTCAGAGTTCTGTCTCCGTCTGCTTATCCCACTCTGCCTCTCTCCCCTTTCCTCCCTCTCTAGTTATTCACCAGCCTTCTCTCTCCCGTCTCTTATCACTCTCCTCTCTCCCACTCTCCCTCTCTAGTTATTACCAGCCTTCTCTCGTCTCTTATCACTCTCCTCTCTCCCTCTCCTCCCTCTCTAGTTATTACCAGCCTTCTCTCCGTCTCTTATCACTCCTCTCTCCTCTTTCTCCCTCTCCTCCCTCTCTAGTTATTACCAGCCTTCTCTCCGTCTCTTATCACTCTCCTCTCTCCCTCTCCTCCCTCTCTAGTTATTACCAGCCTTCTCTCCGTCTCTTATCACTCTCCTCTCTCCCTCTCCTCCCTCTCTAGTTATTACCAGCCTTCTCTCCGTCTCTTATCACTCTCCTCTCTCCCTCTCCTCCCTCTCTAGTTATTACCAGCCGTCTCTCGCGTCTCTTTCACTCTCCTCTCTCCCTCTCTCCCTCTCTAGTTATTACCAGCCTTCTCTCCGTCTCTTATCACTCTCCTCTCTCCTCTCCTCCCTCTCTAGTTTATTACCAGCCTTCTCTCCGTCTCTTATCACCTCTCCTCCTCCCCTCCCTCCCTCTCTAGTTATTACCAGCCTTCTCTCGTCTCTTAGCACTCTCCTCTCTCCCTCCCCTCCCTCTCTAGTATTACCAGCCTCTCTCCGTCTCTTATCACTCTCCTCTCTCCCTCCCCTCCCTCTCTAGTTATTACCAGCCTTCTCTCCGTCTCTTATCACTCTCCTCTCTCCCTCCCCTCCCTTTCGATCTTTCTTCTTCTTCTTTCTCCCTTCGCTTTCGATCTTTCTTCTTCTTCTTTCTCCCTTCCCTTTCGATCTTTCTCCCCTCCCTCCCTCCCTCCCTCCCTCCTCCAAAAGGCAATCCAAGCCGCCATTAGCGATGCCTTCAAAACTCCCGAAGTCATCCGACTCTTCGCAAAGAAGCAACCCGGACAACTTCGACAAAGATTCTCAGATGTTAGCGAGTGACCGGGTAATCTCGGCGATTGTTTTTATTTCACGTGTTGTGGTTGCGTGACTCTGAATTTTGCAGCTGCAACGAGACGTGAAGGTTGGGAGGATATCGGAGGATGTGTACACGCAGCAGGGGGTTGAGATTCTGTCGGCTCTCAGGGAAAACTGGGAGAGAAGGTAAATATTATTCTCAACTCCTCTCTGATAGTTGCATACAAAATGGTTAAATTAGTAGTGACAAAGGGTTAAACCCATGTAATGGCATAGGGTTAACCAGGCCATAAAAGCTCAAGAGTACATTTTTAGAGTGTGACCCAAGAGTGTATATAGCAATTAATAAGCGTGTAAATGCTGGGCTTGGTCGGCATTAATAATGATTTCTGCACAAAGTTGGTACTGAAAAGGTGTGCTAACTCATGGGGGCACGCTAAAGGGGTTAATTGCATTCTTCGGTGTGTTTTTTACAGTTAACGCCTGTGGAAATGGACTTTCTGGCCAAGCACACCAGCCAAGCACTCAGCGCATTTCAGGAAGTGGGAGGAGGAGGAGGAGGAGGGGGAGGAGGAGGTGGAGGGAGTGAAAAACTCTTGGCCATGGCGGGCTCACAAGTCAAGAGTGCAAGACAGTAAACTGCCCCCCGATGATGTCATTCTGACATCGTTCACAATGATGAAATTTTTATGCTAAGAGATCACACTCTATGCTGTTGTTGTTTGTATCAATAATAGTTTATTTTTCAACATTCAACAGTCAGTTCACATGTGCACGATGCAGTGTGACCGCTCTTTAGAAAAATCTAATCTACTTGATGAATTCACAATAATAATAATTATTATTATTATCAGTTTCTCTGATATCTAAGCATGTGGTTGGCAATGGAGTGCGATATTTCTTCGGCAGTCCTGTTTTGTCCGTAGTACTCTCTAAAATCGCCTTTGGGGTCGACCAAGTACATGATGATAGTGTGATCCACCTGAGTGGGGGAGTTGGAAACTAAAAACACTAAGATCATGAAAACTCGCAAAAAATGTTTCTAGGAGGGGAAAATTAGCTCCAAAACTTCAAAATCCGTCACTCAAAAGTAACCATATTATAGCTACGAAGTACAAGACTAGAGGGTTATATACCAGTTACCATGCTATAGCTATGGTACATATATAGCTAGAGATATATATACCAGGTAGTCATTGGGGTTTTCACTGGGTCCAATGCTGTAGTAGACTCGATAGGCTTTGGTGGCAGTCTGTATCTCTTCCTCGCTACCCGTCAGACCCATGATCCTTGGGTGGAACTCTTGATGGGGAGGAGGGAGGTGGGAGAGGGAGGAAAGAGGTAGGAAGAAAAGGAAGCGGCATTCTCAGATGTTTAATTCATCATTACGTGTCATCATTATATGTGTGTGGCGTGATCGTTGCAGAGTAATTCTCCACATGTGTAGCAAGCTAGAGAGAGAGGGAGAGAGAGAGAGAGAGGAGAGAGAGAGGAGGGAGGGAGAGAGAGAGAAGAGAGAGAGAGAGGGAGAGAGAGAGAGAGGGAGAGAGAGAGAGATAGAGAGAGAGAGAGAGAGAGAGAGGAGCTAATGAAAGTCGAGTGTCTGAAAACTCACCAAACCTTGAAGGTATTTTTTGATGACTTCCGGCGAATCTCTCTTCGGATCGACTGTTATGAAAAGAGGCTGGACTTGAGGCAGCCCTGGAGTTTTCTCTGCAGATATATAGAAGAAGGCACAACTAAACTTTCGGGAACAACTCTGGCAATTTCAGGCTCTCAAAAGTTGTGAAACTCGCATAAGTTGTCTCGAAGGTTTAATCGTTTGGTGCACCACTTACATACACGCCTATAGCAACTGTGTTTGCTTTTTCATTTAAGGACTTAGAATTTATATCATCATGTACAGTTTTTTAGCCACCACCCACCTAAACTTTTCAGAGCCTCTGACAATTTTTCAAGCTCCTCGGGGCACACGTCGGGGCAAAAGGTGAAGCCAAAGTAGATGAGAAGCCACTGGCCAAAGAAGTCGCTGTTTGCTTTCTCTCTCCGTTGTGGTCCAGGAGAGAGAATGGACCTCCGAGAGCAGCCTTACCGTGTGACCGCACCTTCTTCTCCTCTGCCTCTGCACACACACACACACATGAAGAGAGTAAAAAAATTGGGCGTCTTTATAAAATATTTTGTGTGGTTCAGGGTGGCGCTTTACTAGACACACCAGGCCTTACTTCAGTGCCATACTTGCGAAATTCGTTCCCATGAAGGTATTAGACCATGTGATGCCAAGAGAAAAAAGATGGGGAGCTCTGGACAGCTGTTTCGGGCTTGTTGGCCCTCATCAGCAGAGCATACCGCAACTTCTCTCTCTGGCATCATCGAGTTTATAAAGGCTACCAGGAGCGCAGCACTTGTGGTTCTGAACTGATGAGATTCATCCCCACAAGGCTTTGCCACTGGGTATGTGCTATGCACATCATAGCACACTCAGCACCCTTTTAAAAATTATTTCGCGAGTCTAACAGAAGCTTGGCAAAGCTGGTAGTGCAGTGAAGTGGCATGCTTTTAAGCCCTTGCTGAAATCTATCACCAAGACACCAAATTAAAGGTTTGTTTTCTGCACAGATTGATTCCCCGTCCCCGTTTGCCAAGAGAGCACTAACAGGCATTTGGTGCTTAGCTGCACGTGGCACTGGTAAATTACCTTATCTATTCACACAACAACCCCCCCACACACACACACACACACACACACGCACACACACACACACACACACCGTACCTTTCTCCTTCAGGGTCTTCAAATGTTTGACATAAGCGACGGCCACACCTCCTCCGACCACCAGCACCAGTAGAGAAGTCCATGTGATTGGCTACAAAATCATACAAATTCCCCATCATAACCCCATACATCTATGATGCTAGGTATTTTACCATGCCCATCCCTATTACTACCATACTTAGTGTAGGCACTTGAACTAACCGACTGAACTAACCGATGTTTTCTGGCTCCGATCGAAAGCTGAATTTGATGCTTTCCTGCAACTAGCAGCTTTTACTCTCCTCAGCAACTGGTGGTGATGCTGATGACGTAGCGAGTAATCACGTGATAGGAGTGGGCGTGGTCGCAAACTCTGCAGAGACAACGTGGAAAACGGTCGATAATGAACGTTTCGTACAGAAAAATATTCTGCAATAGCAAAAATAGAACTATTCGTCTCTCACCACTGCTCGACTTCTCCATAACGCTGGCCAGGTTCCCCGCAAGCGTAGCATGGCGTTCCCAGTCAACCTTTGACCTATCTAATATAACGAAAGGTCAAACAAAAGTAATTTTAAAAGCACTTCGAACACTGCACTGCTCCTTGCCTGTTAGCGAGTTGTTCGCCAGCAGGACGATGAGTACAGCGACTGCTGCTCCATTGTGAGCACTGAAACGGAGCCGGCGAGAAATGGAGAGACTGAGAATTAGCGACTGGCGCGTGGGGGTCGGTGTCGGCGCTCTCTCGGCTGTCGTTCTGCACTTCACCTTCCCCCTCCTCCTCTTCCTCGTCTTCGCCGTCATCTTCACTGTCCTGGGAGCTGTCTTGGCTCTCTTCCCTACTCAGTACTCGCGGAGAACGCGAGAGACATATCCGGCGCCCCCCAAACCCAACATCGAGGGGACGTTGTCAAAAGTCAAGGTTTACCCGCCTCCTGTAGTCCGCCCGGCCCTTTTCACGGCGGGCGTGGATGGCCGCATACAGGAGATACTGGAACTAACTCTAAAGCATCACGTGATTCCGATGTACAAGACGGTCGCACATGACGAACAGCCGTTCTTCAGGAGTGTTAGTCCCGTAGTGTGGACAACGCTGTCGGCCATCACGCAGCGAGCGAGTCACATCGACATGATGAGAATGACGCAAGACATAGTCAGGGCCCTGCGAACACACTTTGAGCATTTCCGCGGTTTTCACTACCAGCACGTGCACACGCAGTTCCCTCAACTCTCTCTCTACCCTTACCTCAAAAGCCCCGAACACGAGTTGAATTTTCTCCGACAGGCCTGCGAGGTGCTACTCTGTGTCTCGCTACCCAAGGAGCACCTCCAGTGCACTCCAATTAGAGTCCTCGTACGCGAGTACCTGGCCGGTCAGATCCTTCTACCGACAATTGAAATGATGTGCGACCCGGACTACATCAATCAGAAGCTACTGGCTTACCTCACACGAAGAGAGAGGAGCTGTCAAATCGGCCTCGACCAAGTACACGTGGCGAACGTTTGAAGACTTTGTGAAGAACATTAAAAAGATCGAGGACCTCCTGGAGCTCCATTCAATGCGACAGTTCATAATCACCGACATCATTCAAGCAAAGGCGGTCCAGCGTATAAAAAGCATGAGGGTCAAAGGTTTTGGAGGAGGAGGTGGGTTCCCAATCCCAATTCCAGCCGAGAAAGCTAAGAGTCTTATGGAGAGAGACTTGGGGCTCTACGTGAACCAACTCGAGACGGCAAAGACAGTGTGCGAACGCCAGATCAGGAAACTGGGCGGAGAGGACCACGAACCGACCGAGACTTCGGCGGACAAAGTCTACGAGGGTTCGTCGCAGACCGGGGAGAAATCAATCTCCCTCCTCCCGTTTGACGTCATAATGAACAACCGAATCGCTCAGAACTTCTTTCTCGACTTTCTCAAGGAGTGTGGCTACGCTCACTTGGTCCAATTCTGGCGAGAAGTCAAGAGACTCGATGCTGACCATCCGGACACCCTCCATAAACTCGTGAGAGAGCTACTGGAGCGCTATCTCCTACCAAAAGCCGAGTGCTCCCTCTTTCCCGAAGAGGAAGTGGTCGCCGAAATTCAATTTCATCTGGAGGCAGAGGTAGTCAGGTGTCTTCCTCTACTTCTCAGAATCCAGGGAGAAGTCTACTTGGAGCTCCAGGAGCACTTTTATGTCAGTTTCACGTGCAGCGGGTACTATAGGGAGCTCCTGCAGCAGATTTATGGAGCAACAGAGGGGGACAGCCCCGAGCTGTTAGAGCTGGGGAAATTCTCGGAAGCGGTGCCGAGAGAATCCGCGGTGCTTGATCCAACAAGCGAAGAAAACCAGTACAGAATAAAGCTCCAGACGCTCAAGATGGACCTGGAAGAGACGGAGGACATGCTCACCACTATGCCCGAAAATGCCGGGACCGGCTCGCTCGCCCAACGTAAGAAAGCCCTCAACAGGGACCGACTGTACCTCAACACCGAGATAAAAAAGTTGGAGCACTACATCGACCATACGGAGGAGTGGTTTGGAACAATCGGGAAGTGGTCGGTGGACGTTCACTCGGTCGATGTCTCGGGTGATAACGAGAGAGACCCGCTCTTTGTCATTGTAGTTCATCGACCACAGCCTTCCCCCAGAGGGAGGGTAGCGGAGGAGGAGGAAATGGGGGAGGAGGATGAAAGTTGCAGCAACACACCCGATCACTGGGCACTGCAAGAAGACACGGGTAAACGCGGGAGTACGTCTCCCCTATCTCAATCCAGCCCCGGTCTTCCGTTCTCCGGCGGAGCAAGTCTGAGTCCACATAAACGGAGAAGTGGATCAACTGAATTTGATGGTGACACGTCGTATGACGTCGTTGACGAGGCTGAGGCTTTGAGGCAGCAGCAGCAGGGCGGCTGGGTTGTCGGGCGGCGAGTGTCGGACTTTGAACAGCTCCACTCCAAGGTCGTTGAGATCAGTCCCGCGCTCACACTCCCGCCTGTTCCGAAACGCCTGAACCCGTTCCACAAACCCATATCCTCGTCGAAATTCTGGGACAAGTACCGTCTGGTGCTCCAGTCCTACCTGATAAAGATCCTAAGAGACTCGCGACTGCAAGAGAGCGAGGAAGTGTTCAACTTTCTGAGCCCGGCGTCTGAAAATCTCCGCCAGTCAAGTCTCATCCACCCGGAGAGGAAGAAGCATCCTTTTTCGATCTCAGTTCCTCTCTTCTCAAAAGACGATGAGGAGTCGACAATCACGGAGCACATGTACGACCTCATGAGCGAGATTTTTGAGCTGGACGAGTGGAGCAGGGTCCTCAGGAAACAGCTTATGGATCTTGTGCAGCTAACCTACGGCAAGAACCTCCACCGCTCTGTGCAAGAAAGCATCAACTGGGTCATTTCCGAGCCCATGCTGGGTTTTTACCTGGAGGCTTTTCGGGATACCATGTGGCCAAACGGCACGCCTGCGGCTCCCTCCCCAATCCGCAGCGACGAGCAGAAACAGCACACAAAGTACGAGGCAAAGAAGAAGTTTTTGAAGAGCTCGCCGCAGGGTATCCAGACCATTCTCGGTCAGAGGAACTGCCAGATCGGGATACAAAAAATCTTTGAGGCACTGCAGGACCAGAGAGCCAACAAGCAACTCTTCTACTCACTGTTTGAACTGCTGCTCTATGCGCTAATCCCCGAACTTGAAACAGTCGAGATTGAAGACACAGTTGCAGACTGGAAGGCCGAATTATAGTGTTTGTATGACTAATTGACTGAAATCACTTCTTTCCAAACAAATAATTACATCCACTTTGAGAGACATTCTTAAGTGTTCTTGCATCAGACCCAGTTTGCGCAATACCTGATTAATGTTTGGGTTTTGGCTTACGAGAGCAAAGACCACATTGTGTGTATATCTAAGAGGGGTATATAAATACCTGTAATTATTATGCTTGAGAGTTAAAGATGCACAGGATGCCATGTGATGAGATCAAACACCTCCAGTTCCCATGTAACTGAGGGAGATGAAGAGTTGGAAAGGAGGGATTGGGAAATGATCTCTGTAAACAACCACAGGAAGGAGGGGAATGAAGCCCTACTATGTTCATTAAAAACGAAATTACATTCTCAAGTATATACCCTGGGTGGCCATAGTTTTCTGACCTCTTAGTTAGAAAGGCACATGTTTGGCTTCATCAATAAAGTTATCCTTTGATCCTCCAGACCAAAGTAAAATAGGATGATAAAACCCCCATTGGCTTCATTTATGCATACCTCCTTATACCTACCATTCCTCTTAGGAAAACTATGTGTTTGAAAGCCATCCACACAAATCTTCCCTGGGTTCAAACAATTTTTTTCTATATTATATACACTCCCCTTGGGAAGGTCTGCCAAGCCACTAATCAGTTTAAACCTGATTACATGATAGGCACGCACCTGTGGTTTACAATGTAGAATGTGGTAGAATGCCAGTGCAAGGCCATGTATAATGTACTGGGTAAATGCATTTTTCTCTGCTTCTTGCTCTGATTAGTAAATGTCACCTCTAAGGTCTGTACTGACTGCCCACAGAGGGAGGGACTAGGAGGTGAGCTGATGGGGTTGGTCAGGCAAGCAACAACCCACCAGTTATCAACTGACCACATGTATATATACAAACCACATGACTGTAGCCTGTCCATTTGTCTTCAGACCATACCCTACCAAAAACATGTAGTAGGATGTTACCAATTGTCCCACTGTAAGCGGATTGAGTCATGCTCTTTGTGAATGAAGGGTAGACCCTTCAATAAGGACAAATGTTATTAGGAACAGTAAAGGTGTCAACTTGGGTTTGGCAGCACTAGTTAACACCTAAGATGTCCCCCCCCCTAATATCTCAACCTGCAATTGAAACTAAAATTATATAGAGCCTTTCTGGAAAAGATCATCATTCATCATAGAACCCAGACTCAGTGTCTCTATATACATCTACATGACATTGTGTTTTCATGTCTCTGAGTGAGGTTGCAGCTGTGGCATTGTATACTTCAACCTCAAAAGTACGCGGAGCCTTGTTGACACAGGTGCCATGTAAGGCTGTAGTAATATAATTGCATCAAACATACCACAATGGTCCAAAACAATCGCGACTCCAGCTGCATAATGTAAAAAAATGGGAAGCCTGGCGCGCTAGGTAGGTAGCCATTGTTGAAACCTGTCCCTTTGCGGAACGCGAACGACGTTCCGACGGCGGTGTGTGTACGGCCGTCGCGGTAAATTTCCCATGCGCGTGCGCAAATGGCCGGACGGGCGTTGCGCGCGCAGCAGCAGTTATAAAAGGCAAGTTTGCGGACCCCTCCGCAGAATATTTTTAGCTGCAGTGTGGTTCGTGTTGCGCTTGTCTGGGTAATAGTTTATTCTATGCAGCTAGCGTGGGTGCAACTCTAAGATGAACGCAAGCTCCATCCCGTTCAAAGTGTGCATCCCCAGCCGAGGCCCGGCGCGCATCGGCATCGCTGCGTCCAGCTACGCGCATCTCCGCCAGATCGTCCGCTACAAGTACAAAGTGAGCGGAGAGTTTTCTCTCCAACAGGAGGACGGAACGATCGTTTGCGACGAGGACTACTTCAGACTCTTGGAGCCCAAGACTACGCTCACTGTCATGGAGTCTCCGCCTCCTTTCCCACCGTTGCAACATGCTGCTTCAACGGCGGCCGCCTTGGCGGGTTACCAGCCGCTGTGCCCCAATCACTGCTGGCCTCGTCCCTCCGTTGCGGCAGTCGCAGGTGAGAAAAATTCGCGTGCAGTTGTGCATAGCACAATTTGTTTGTCCCACGTTTTGTGTTCTCAATTGTGTTTTTATGCTACCGTGGGTGGTCTCGTTCGTCGCTCTCTCCGGCGCTTAGCACCCCGTTTGCAGATTGTGGTGCAGGTGTACGACATCTGGCGAAGTCGCACCTGTCGTTCGTGTCTACGATCTTTAATTACACACCCGTATTTGGAATTTGGGACATGCGCAATAGCACACTGCCTCTGACCAATCAGGCTACGCCGCGACAGAGTGGAATGCTGGTTGCATCAGCCACGTATTAGTAAAAACAAAGTATATACAGTAAACACAAGCGAATTCCACTTGTTTATATGCAGGTCAGCTCTCCCTGAAGCGAAAGAGGCACGCTCCTGTGCCAGAGTGCCTGATATCCCCGCCAAAGCGACATCACTGTAATGCCACCCTCCCCCAGCATTTGTACAGAGCTATCCACCATCAAAGGACTCACGTTCTTTCTCACCCTCCTCTACAATATCTTCACCCGCAGCAGCTTAGGCCCATCTTTCACCACCCTGGTCCTGTAGTTCAGAATCCCCCCAACACACTCTGTCACCCACAGCAGTATAATCCAATGGCTGGGGTGCAACCGCCCACTCCAACAAGTAGCCCATCGCTCTCTGGGATAGTTTCCCTCCAGCTTATGGGAAATTCTAATGTGCCAATCACCCCCAGTGTTGTCGGTGCAGAAACACCGGCCGATGCAAATCCTACATCGTCGCTCGTCGGCCAGCTGCAAATAACGAGCGTCGTGGGAAATGCAAGTATGTCTCCATCGCCACCGAAACCGGTCGAGCCTGCTCCGAGAACCCAACCTCCTCCGCTTATGTTAGTACCTCGCCATGGAACAGTTCCTGCTGGTTCTTGCAGCTCTCCCGTGCAGCGTTCTAGTCAGCTGTTACAGCTTTCAAGTTCTCCGTTTCAACACGCCCGACATCAGTGTATGCACGTGAGTAGTACACCATGTATGCTTGTGGATCCCACTCCTCGAGAACTGCTCCCGAAGCAAAAGTCAAGTACTGCCATTGATCTTTCTTCCTTGTTTCAACCTGTGACCAGCACGGTGACAGATCGTTCTTCTTCCTCTGGATCTCAACAGTCAATGAGCACTACCGCTGTACTTTCTTCTAAACCTGTGACTGGCACACAGACAGATCTTTCTTGCCACCAGCTACAACCTCAGACACAGTGTGCATGCAACCCTATTCAGGGACTACCAACGACCAAAAACGTGTCGAGCATTGCACGCTGCAACGTAAATCCTTCTCAACCTCAAGTAGCAGTGCTGCAAGCAGTGACAGAGATGCTGGAACCAGACAAACACGCCCTGGAACGAGTTGTACACCCACAGAGGAACGAGTTGTACACCCACAAGAGGAACGAGTCATGGAACCAGTTGTGAAACCAGTCGTCACGAAACCGGTCACGGAACTCAGAATTGTCCGCGGTAGCTCCCACAAGTCGACCTCTTCCATCTGTGAAACAGGCAAATTCAATGAAGACGACGACGACGACGACGAAAATCAGTTACGCATCGTAGAGAATGCTCCGCCCCAACCATCTCCCAAGTCGACATCAACTTCTCGAAGCGAGCCGACCGAACCTCTCTACCACGTCCCGTTTGCCCACTCTCCTCGTCCACGCTCGCTCGGGGGCCCACTGTACCCCATCATTATCGAAGGGGATCCTCTCGCTGCTGAACTGAAAGCGAAACTAGAAACGTGTGCTCGCCGGACGAAGGCTACAGTAGCAGTAGTTCGCCGTTGGAGAGCGAATCGCACGACTTTAGCTCGCTGCTGCCTTTTGCAGACTATGACGAGCCAGTCACACGCAGCACGCGAGAACCATTGGAGAACTCGAGGAAGGAAGACAGTTATAACGGAGGGCACACCGATATAGAAAATGGCTCAAGATCACAAGAAAATCAAGCGGTATATATTTAACAGTTTTGACTCAGAATCATGTAGGCCGTACCTTATATGATTGTGATCAAAACCAATGTTTTATCATGACTTGCTGTTTTTGGTTTGAACATGTGTACGTGTGCATGTATGTAGGATCTAAATTCCTCAGCCGATTATTACTTTGGCGATGATATTGGAGAGGAAGATTACGAGGAGGACTTTGTAATGGACGTGGATGTGTTTTCTCCTTCACTACCAGTTACTCCCACAACTCCGCAAATCAAACACGATCATCTTATCCCGCAGATCAGGAGCGATGATGAGTTGGGTGAGTTAGTGTGCAGCTGTTTTGTGGCTGTTTTGTTAGGGTAGGCAAGTGGGTGTTGTAAAGAGGGTAGGCAAGTGGGTGTCGTAAAGAGTGGTACCAAGTACAATAGTGGGTGTAGCTCGCTTATCTCTCATGCAGGCAAAGACATGCAACTAATTATCAGAATCGACAGGGGCTTCCTCTCTCCTGCTCCTCCTGCAGTTCCGCCTCTCGTGCGCCGGCTGCGAGTACGGAAACCTTCCCGAAGATACACAGTCTCTCTCCCCCTGCACACCTACCTCGAGCATCCGTCACCTACACGACAGCGGAGAAGACGGCACCACTCCTCAGACCCGACGTACAGACCGGGAATGAGACTGCAAGCCCCATTCAAACCAAAAACACAACCCGCAGCAAAAATACCCGGTGGCGAAGAGCGGGTGTCTCAACTGGTCGTCAGTATCCCCATCTGTCGCGGTGCGGGTGGAAGGATACTCTGCGATGAAGAAGATGCGTTTGAAGATAACGATGAGTCGGTTACAATAATGGAGCTCCTGGCGTCAAAACTGGAGCAGGCCATGGAGGAAGAGGAGAGTCGACGAGTGCCCGAAATAGTCCGTCTCGTACCTCACTATCCCGGAGACAGCGAAGACTCGATGGACTCTTCCAGAGTAGCACGCGGAACGCCAGAACCCACGGCCGAAGTCGCAGAGTTTCTGACACTCCCGTCTGTGTGTTCGTGCGTAGATCTCGGTAACTGTGTCCGGGAGTTGAGCGACGTCTGTAACCAGTTGGTGTTTGGAGGGAGAGAAGGGGATGTGGGGATGATGTCACTGGAAATTGGGGAGGAGGTGGAGCTAGCTGAGCCGTCAACTGACACCTGCTGCTCCCCAGAACTAACTGGGATGGAGCTGCTAAATCTCACACCACAATCTCCAACTTCTGCCGACAACCACAAACAACAGTCTGCCTTGCAACCTGCAGCAACTGTCTACAGGGAGGTAAGCTAACAAAATTACCAGCGTCATCAAGAGTTAATATTTTGGTTTGTTCAGGATTTGGCTGCTGAAACTGAGGAAAAACTATGGGCAGCAGTGGGGGGTCTCTTCACTTACCCACAATACAGGTGAACATGACTTGCCCATTGTTCAGGTGGAGGGTCTTAAACAAACAACACACCCTATTAGGCGGTATTGTGGACATAGACAACTGTGTGATCTTGTTTTGTTGCATACAATCCCAACCCTTATTCAGGGTTCTTATCCTGTTTGTAGGCATACTGGAGCAATAGCCATACTTACACAGAACCAATAGTATAATTGTACCCCCAAAGAGTAAATTTCGACAGACTTTACAAAAAAAATAGTAGGAGAGCTTATTGTTGCTCTCTCCCCTATTCTAGACCCTAGGCTAAGGATACAGACATATTCTCTGGGGGACAAAGAAATTTTCAAACTCTCCTTCGTTAGTGGCACGTGGCAATTGAGGGCTCTTCAAGACAACCACACCTCAGCTGGCAGTACTGTAGCCCAGGATCTCTCCACTTCACTATTTCTACTTTAACCCATTCCATTCTCACTTTTAACCCCTTTCATTCTCTCTCATCCGACTCCAATCACTCCCACTTCACTGTCTGATTTAACCCCTTCCATTCCAACTTTTTAACCCCTTTCATTCTCTCTCTCTCACTGACTCCACTCATCGCTATCTCCCTCTTCATCAAAACTCAGCTGTGTCCAGTGTCAATTTGTCTGTGTATATGCACACATGAACTCATCTGCCACCATCACTTTTATATGACCCAACACCTATCAGTCGCCAATCACTGCTCATCAGTTGTTAATTACATGACCCAATCCACCCGAGCAGATTTTAAAGTTGTTTCAAGAAATAAACAGTCGGAGTTTTAGCTAGCTAAGGAGGGAAAGTAGTAGGACTTTATTATAGAGAGCAAAGGATCGAGAATCTAGCTATAGGATTTGATCAGACTAACTCCGCTAAAAGACCAAAGTTAGGGTTGCCCCATCCCGACGTGGGGTCCCATCCATCGATCGCTTTAAACCCGGGGCAAAAAACTCCACCCCCATTATTCCCTTCGGTGACGTCAAAGAAGCCTTTCCCTTGCAGGGTCTGGTACAGCAGCGGGTTTAGAAACCCAAGAGTGGGTTTGCCCATGTTCAAACGAACGTCGTTCAGGCTCGATACGATCCCGGCAAAAGTAGGAGCGGCACAGCTTGTACCACTGACAGGGAAAGGTAGTCCATCGTACTCGATCAAAAAGTCTGTCGAGAAGGCGCTGACGTCTGGGTACGCCCGTCCGCTTTGGTTGAAGTGTTTAGTATCCGGTGCCTTCCCACTCTTGAGATACGTCTGTACTATATCATACTGGTACTCTGGTGTTGGGAAGAAGTTTGAGAAACCACCTCCACCATCACCCCACACGCTCTTGAGCGACGTGGTTCCTCCAACTGTCGTCACGTACGGGCTGCTGGCAGGCCACATGGGGTTAAACTTCTCCTGTAGTCCGTGGCAGTCGACCCCGCTGTCTCCCGCGGCGAAAAGCACCGAGCGGCCGGAGACACCAAACTTCATGAATTCGGTGTCACATCGTGTAAGATAGTCCCTCGCTATCGAGGTCTCGGTGTCTCCATAACTTGCCGAGTGGACCCACGGGGACTCAGTGGTGTTTACCTGTCCGACAACCCACGAGAGAAAATCCTCCTGTCCGTTGTTAGCGTAGGTTGATATGGAAACAAACCACGTGCTGACGTTACGACCGGTGGCACTGATGTACTGTACATCGAGCTCCGCTTCGGCACCGGCGTCGCCTTGTTTGTTTTCACCTACCACCTTTGTGATCGGTCGCACGGGGAGGTCGTACTTTGACTGAAACTTTCCCAGGTCGGAAGGGTTGAAGTATTGCTTTAGGAACCCTGCCACCGCCTGTGAGTTCCCAGGGTTTGTTGACACATACCCGGACGTGTTGTAGTCCTTAGCAATGCTTTGTGGAGTTACACCCAAGTCACCGTCGCTGTTGACACCCTTTTTCGCGAGTACGCGCGGTCTCTCCGGAAACTCTTTGATGCCGAAAACAAAGTCGACGTGTCCGCGGAGCGACGCGGGGAGCGTGTAGCGTTCCGACTTTACCGTCTTGTAGTCGTCGAGTTCTCTGTGACGATACTCGTAAAATTCGGCCGAGAATACGTCCTCGATTTTTCCTACCGGTGCAAACACCACTGCAAAGTCTTTGCCCAGCGTGAAGTCAATGCTCGCTTCTTGGATTCCCAGCAGAGCGTAGCGTGATCGATGACGGCTCGTACGGACTCCGGCCGCCCGTGCACGTACTCTGCGATCTTGTCGAAATTGAGGTAGTCCCCATAGCGAGGTCGAATCGGGGTAAGACACGGCTTCGAGCGTCTCTTTCAGCCACCCGACGTTCGTCTGGTTGATGGCGAAGGTGAGTTTCACCTTGTGCTCGCTACTAGCCTTTCCGAGTCGAACCCACTCACTGGGGCTGTACGCAGCAGCCAGAGATCCAGCAAGAAGCAGAGGTAAGAGATACACCGACGGTCGCATGGTGGTTCCACTACTGCACTGGCTGTGCGTGGGTCGATTTTCGCGAGAAAGAGGTCAACGCGTATCACATGACATGAATGGGGCAGTTTTTGTTAGCTAACAACTAGCAGGGGGGGACGGGGATGCTAATGAACAAGCAACACATGTTGCTTGTTCATAGCTAGCACCATGTTCTGCGTATTTGTGTAGCTTTTATCTCCCACGCGAAAAATTGGGAAACCAGACATCTGCGCATGCGTATCTATCAACTGCACGCAAAAAAAACACACTGCACACACTCCCCCAAACACACGTGAATCGTGAATATCGTTTTCGGAAGAAAACGGGAAAGAAGATGACGCTGCGAGCGCTCTCTGGACTTCTTGCTCTGCCTGCAACCTTTCTGCTGCTGCGGCTGCTGCTAACCGGCCCAGCGGCCGCGCACGAACTGGAGATAGTACACGATTTCTGGTCCAGCGTGGGTCGCGTCCGCAGCGGACAGGTGGAGCTCCTCCTCGCCATCAAACAGACGAACGTGGACTGGCTAGAGCAGAAACTGTGGGCCGTATCCTACCCTGACTCCCCCGAATACGGGCAGTACGTAAATTTCGACGGGATAGCCGAGGTCGTGCACGGAAGACCCAAATCTGTACGTGCAGTCGTAGATGCGTTTGCAAAGGTTGGGGTTGGAGAGGATAAGATAGATTTCACCCTTGGCCGTGATTTCGCTGTCGTGGTGGCGCCAATTTCAGCAGTGGAAGAGCTGTTTTCTGCAGAATTCTACCTCTTTGAGCACGTCGAAGATCCCAATAACAAAATTGTGAAATCGCTCACTTACGAGCTGCCCCAAGCTCTGGTTGGCCACCTCGATTTCGTTTCGGGGATTTCAAATTTCCCACGTCAGAACAGAGTATCGCCTCGCAGGCACCACCAGAGTTTCACATCCACAAAACTTGGAACTGACCCGGATACGATTGCGAAGAATTACAACATTTCTTACGTGGCGTCGAACCCGGGAAATTCCCAGGCAGTGGCCTCCTTTCTAAAGCAGTACTTTAGTCCGAGTGACCTGAGCCGGTTTCAAGAGCAGTACAACATACAGTCCAACCCCATTGCCAAAACCGAGGGAGAAAACGACCAAAACGACCCGGGAATCGAGGCAGATCTAGACGTCGAATACATCACTGCTACGGGAAGAAACGTGACCACTTGGTTTGTGTCCATCTCCCGGACCGCCAACAAAAACCAGGAGGACTTTCTCTACTGGGTCCAACAGCAGATTAACGACACAAGCTCACCGTGGGTCCACTCGATCAGCTACGGCGACTACGAAATGTCGATTCCGACCGACTACCAAAACCGGACGGATATCGAGTTTATGAAATTTGGCGTGTCGGGGCGATCAATCCTGATAGCATCCGGTGACGAAGGGGTACACTGCAGGAAGAGGAAGTACATTCCTGAATGGCCGACGTGTAGTCCTTACGTCACTTCAGTCGGCGGTACTGAGAGCTTAGACCAAGTGTGGATCGATGGTGGCGGTGGATTCTCCGATACTTTCCCCATGCCCGACTATCAGAAAGAAGTGGTCGAGGCTTACTTGAACAGTGGAAAGACGCCACCCGCGAAATACTTCAACAAGACCGGACGCGGGTACCCTGACGTGAGTGCGTATGCGGTGAATTTCGTCATCGTTTACGACGGCAGCGGTACAGTTGTCGACGGTACCAGTTGTGCAACACCCACGTTTGCCGGGGTAGTTTCGTGCTTGAACGACGTTCGACTCAACAATGGGAAGAGCACGCTGGGCTTTCTCAATCCCCTGCTCTACCAGACACTAAAGGGAAAGGGGTTTTTCGACATCACTAAAGGGAGTAACAGCGGAGGCGGGTCGTGTCCCGGATTCGAGGCAATCGAGGGGTGGGACCCAGCTTCAGGATGGGGCAGCCCGAATTTTGGCCTGTTGAGCGATCTAGTCCTCGACCTTTGAACTTCTGTACATACATTGAGTTTGAAATCACGAACACTTATCCATAGTCTGTATAATAAACAAGCTTGCACTGTACATGTATAATATATCATGTTTGTTTAAAAGTCTGTTGTATGTAAGTATCGAAAGCCGTGCAAATAAAAATGATCCCAAATTTTTCTTGCTTAAGCTGTAAATCGGAAAAAAGTCGAATGCGACACAAACTGTAAAAGGAGTGCAAGCTTTAGAACAGCGCTGCTAGGTCTTCACTTATTAATGACGCAATCTTTGGCGTATTCTGTACAAATTAAAGGACGAGAGAGGATAATGATGGTGTAGGGAGAGAGAGAGAGGGTCTCAGAATGTGGGGAACAGTGATGAGACTGAACAGTACGCACTAGAATTTGAGACTGAATCCTGCTCCTACAGCCGCCTTCCCGTGGACAGCAGACGTTATCTTGAACCCATCTTCCTCCGCCTTCAGAGGGAGAGGGAGAAAAAGAGAAAGAAGGAAGGAAATTGAAGGAGGGAGTAATTCTTACTGAAAGTATAGTTATCGCTCGCTTTCTCTATCTACGTATATACCCCAATGGCAGATGACTTTATAGGAGAACTCTTTCGCAGATTTTGTGGTTATTTGCTAAATCTGCCAAACATTTCTCCCGCGAAATCTGTTTGCTTCCGAAATTACAAAGGACCTTTGGTTTCAAGTGTAGAAGGTAAGTGGTTGTATTTGCAATAAAATTTCCCTTCCATAGTTTCCAGCTGTATTGTGTACGTCATGGAAGAGCAGTGCTCACCTGGGTCAACAGGTAGTTGCCTCCAATTGGGGGCGTTGGGCTCTTCTCTCTGCTCTTTCTCCTGAGTTTTTCACTCTTGGCCGGCCACGTTGGGAACATGGATGGATCCACTGGCAGAGGGCTCTCCTGGGGGAGAGGAACATGTTGGCAACAGAAGAGAATAATAGAACATCTGAGTCTATGGTGAATAATGGAAGCACATACGACGCTGGCACAGATAGCTTTCTTCACCTGGTTACCGTAATTACGATTCGTTGGTGAGTGATAATGACAGAAAAGGCATGTGACATTTCTAAATTTAGCCAAAGGGAATGTTGCAGACTAGAAGAGCTAAATTTAGAATATGGAGCAAAACAATAGGGGCACAGTGAAAGAATGCAATTGAGTTCCGTTTTAGTAACGTTTCTAAATTTAGTCCTTTCATACTGCCACATTCCCTTTTAAGGAAGTTGCCACGTGAATTTTGTGTGTACCTCGAAGTACTGATCCTCGAGGGCCTTTTCGGCAGTGATCCTCCGCTTGGGGTCGTAGGTCAGAAACTTGTTGAGCAGGTCGAACCCACTCTGCGGAAGATACGGAAACCTCTTTCTCAGGTTGTTGAACGGCCTCTTAGTGAATGTGACTTTCTTTGTTATCGGGAGCTCGTTGTAGCCCGGCCAAATCTCCTCGCTCGGGGTTCCCAGCTCCTGTGAGACACCATGGTAACAGATACATTACCACGGCAACAGACACAACCACGGCAACAGTTGGCCACTATCATTATACAGAAATGTACCATGGCAATAGATATACACCAGATAAGCAATATACATACACCACAAGAGTCACAACTAAGACAAGGCACTAGTGTGGGCAGCAGAGCTAAGATAGGACAACAAGCCACAAAGTGGTCTCTACAATGAGGGCCATACAAATCCTGCTGTTGGTCATTGTGCATGAGGTATAATTATATACTTATGTGGGCAGGGCAGGGCTAAGGATAGGACAACAAGCCACAAAGTGGTCTCTACAATGAGTGCCATTACATTACTTCTGGCTGGCCACACCAAATCATGCTGTTGGTCATTGTGCATGAGGTATAATTATATACTTATGTGGGCAGGGCAGGGCTAAGGATAGGACAACAAGCCACAAAGTGGTCTCTACAATGAGTGCCATTACATTACTTCTGGCTGGCCACACCAAATCATGCTGTTGGTCATTGTGCATGAGGTATAATTATATACTTATGTGGGCAGGGCAGGGCTAAGGATAGGACAACAAGCCACAAAGTGGTCCCTACAACTTGGGACATTGAAGGTTTGAAATTTGAACATTCCTGCCACACCCTAATCTACTAACACCCCTTATCATTGTCCAGTATAATACTTAGACTTAGGCTGGGCAATTACATACCAGGAAGTTTGAAATAGGACATTTCAAAGGTGACCACCTAAACACTATTTTGGGACTACCATCTCACAACACATAATTGGCGGTATAATAACAGATCCACAAATTGCCCCTTTGTCCCAGAAATACCTCGTTAATCAGCACACTATAACAGTATATATCACAACACACTACCTTGAAGATTTGATTGAGTTGGTCTATTTCTGATTTTCCCATGAAAAGTGGTTTATGTTGGAGGAACTCTGCAAAAATGCAGCCAACGGACCACATGTCGATTGGTGTTGAGTAGTCCTGTAGAATTCAGAGAGAGAGGGGTTAAAATTAACCGAATAATGGGGAATTCAGAGGGGAGGGGGTTAAAAGTACTGTAAGGGAAAAAATAGGTAAAAAGGGAGGGGGCAAGCCTATGAGGCAAAAGAGTAAATGGAGGAAAGAGAGGGAAGAGGGGAGAATGAGAGGGAGAGAATAAAAGGAAGTGGAGGGAGAGCTAGTAGGAGTGAGAGAGAGAGGTTCATCAGCTCACCTTGCAGCCCAGGAGGAGTTCAGGTGCTCTGTACCAGAGGGTGACCACCACGGGTGTGTAAGGTCTCAGAGGGGAGCCATACTCTCTGGCCAGACCAAAGTCACCCACCTGCACACATAATCATGGGTAGGTAAAACTGCAATAATGTGTGGAGGACCTGTATACAGGCAACTTAGGGCCCAAGGGGTGCTATAAGACATTGGCTGTTCTAGCTTTTGTTATACTGCGCCATGTGATATGTATAATTGTATAATTGATTACACGTAGCTACCTAGTATTGCATAGCTGGCATAGTCTGTGCGGTGTGCTTTATTTGGAGGGCCCTTTTTCAAACTTACGGGCATTTTTCAGACTTATGCACACAAAGCTGGCCAGTTAACAGAGGTTCACCTTGAGGACCCCCTTGTGGCTAAGGAGTAGGTTTGAAGTCTTCAGGTCTCGATGCAATATCCAGTTGTCATGGAGATGGTGGACTGCCCTCAACAGCTGTCGCAGTAGTGTCTTGACTTCACCTGGCGTCATAAGGAGAGAGGGGTTAAATGTGACCACGTAGCAAGGGGTTAAATGTGAAAATGTGGCAAAAGGTTAGAAGTGTACATTTAGCATGTGTCTGTCTAGAAAAATGTACACTCCAAATATTTGTAGAAGTGTACCATGGATGGTCTCAATTTTTATAGAGAAGACTGGTAAAAATTGAGGGGAAGAGAAAACAAGCCGACCTTCAAGAAACGGCTGTTTCATTGTCTCCATGAGAGCCTTCAGATCGTGTTCGACGTAGTCCATGACGATGTAGATCCTGTCCATGTTACTGCCAACCACCAGCTCCTGACAAGAGACGTGAAAGGGAATGTGACATACACATACATATATGGGTATATACTAAATCAATAGGGCCCAGTGCAAGAATACAATTTTTTAGTAAATTCTAAATTTAACCCTTATAATGCTGCCAAATGACTCACTTTGACAAATACGACATTCGGATGTTTGGCCTTCAACAGCATGTTGATTTCTCTCAGCGACGTAATGGGAAATCCCTCCTTTTCCTTCTCCATTTTCAGCTTCTTGAGAGCCACTATTTCACCTGAATAAAACGGCCATCATTAGTGACAGCACCGTCTTACGATACGTCTGAGTAAGGTACACCTTTTTAGACGTGATTGTGATTTCCCATTGTACAAATGAAACATGGAAAGAACGTACCAGTTCTCTTGTCTCTGGCGCGATACACGACTCCATACGTCCCCTCCTCGATTCTGTTCAGCCATTCGTACTCCTCCACGTTCCTGCAGCCCATGAGACCAGGGACGTACGGCGGCAATTTCACCCTCTCTTCATCCTCCTCCTCCTCCTCTTCCTCCTCCTGTACTTCCACTTCTTCCCTCCCTTCGTTTTCATCTGCTGATTGTTGTTTCTCTTCCTCGTTCGCTTCAGCCTCAATCGGTTGTACTGCATCGTGGATTTCAACATCGCTGTGCTCGCTGCCCGAAACGACCTCGCTGTACCCGCTGTAAGTAGCCTTTTTAGCAAACGATACGGCATCTCGTCTCGATTTCTTCCTCTGACGAGTTTCGTCGTCGTCGTCGCTGGAATTCTCCGAGCTGTCGAACTTTGACCTCATCACGGGCTCGGTTGCACCTCTCGTAAGTTCGTGTCGTGATTCCCTCTCTCTCGTCTCTTCCTCGCTATCCTCACTTGATACGTCCTCATCGGCAATCTCCCCCTCGCTTCTTTCTGAATCTGACACACTAGAGCGCTCGCTCCCCCCTCTCTCCTTGCCATCTTCTCCTTCTTCTTCGTCATCGCTAGAGCTAACTCGTCTTTTGCCCTCTCGACTTTCATCCAGTTCTTCCAGGTCTTTGATCAGATCGTCAATTTTGTCTCCCGGGGAAACCTTTTCCGGCGATACTTCTTCACTTTCTGAGCTATCCTCCCTCCTCTCCCTCTCTCGCTCTTGTAATCGTTCCTCGCGCGATCTCTTCCTCTTTCGGTGATGCGTTCGTTCGATCCGACCCCTCTCGTATCGCATCCCCTCCTCGCTCCTTTCTCTCCTCTCTCCCTCCCTCTCTCGCACCTCCTTTCTTGACAATCCTCCTCTCCAATCAGATTTCCCCGGTCGAGGCGAAACTGAAAATCGACGACCTTCTTCCTCGACTCTTCCTCTCCTTCGGACGTCTTCCAAGCTTTCTTCTCGCCGTTGCTGGCGGTATGTTTCTCGTCGTCCCTCGTTTCCCCTTCTACCATCGCCCCTGCGATAATCTCTCGGATGATACCAGTCGTCCGATCGGATGTAAAGTTCCTCTCTCCCCCTCCCCCTCTCTCTCCCTCCCTCGCCGCCGCCGCGATATGGGCTCCCGCGATTCGACAACGGTCTTTTGGATCCTCTCTCTTCTTCTTCGGCTCTGTATCGTTTGGTTTCCTTCCTTCTCCCTCTCCTTTCCTTCTCCTTCTCTCTCTCAGCTACATTGTGCACAATGTTAGTGGTAGCTAGTGGTAGCCAACAATACACTATAAAGCAAACTATTATCTAATACTTTCAGGGAAAATCTGCAGAATTTCGGACATTGATGTACATATTAGAGCCTCCCCACACAGTACACACACATACACACACACCCATAACCCAACCTGCCAGAATCTCCTCAGTGGCTCCTCTGTATTCCTTGACCTCTTCTTCCCCTCCCTCCCCTCCCTCGGTTTCTCTGTGTCTCCATCCGTCTTCATCAGCTGGAAGCCACTCCCACCATCGGACGAGAGATAATCGCCTGGCGACATATCCAGCCCCTCCAGTGCCTCTAAACACACGCACATCGATACAGGCCATTCATAAAATTCTGTCTAGTAGATGGGACATAAAATAGGAATCATATACATGTACCTAACTACAGTATTGTGGGTAGCTGACCATCTCATTAGCATGCAAACATGGAATGTGATTTGTGCCGAGCGAGACTGGGGTGCGCATCAATTAGAAGTGCACTGAACAATCAGCACGATCGCTTCTCCAGAGAGGATCCAGTAAAGCATATACCTTTACTGGTGACGAGGGAGTTGAGGGAGAAGATGTCCTCGTCGCTGGGGAGCAGCGCAAGCTCTCGCTCCGAGCTCGTGCCTTCTTCGTCGGGGCGCGCTCGCTTGACCGGCCGAGTCCGCGGCGACCTGCCTTCTCCTTCCCCTTCGCTCCTCTCCTCCTCCTCTTCCCCCTGCCTCCCTCGCTTCCTGTCAGAGTCGGAAGACATCTACTCTTCCCGGCTCTAGCTCCGCGATAAAAACACGAAAACGTCGCTTCAGCGCGCGTGCGCCACTTCAGCGCGACGCTACTTGACGCGGACTTTGTACCGACTTTTGACCTTCTGGAGTTTAGTGGGCGTGTGTGTAACTGCAGCTAGTTCGCCCTCTGGCTGTGCACCAGAGAATGGCGTCAATAGCTAGGGGAGTTGGTAAGATAAAGGACCTGGTCCAGGGTAAACCTTGAATTTTTTCCCCCCTGTTTATAGCAACGATACCCTCAGACGAGGATGTTGTGAGTGAAAGGATACAGGAGATTGGGGAAGATGATCTGGTGAGAGACACACCATCCTTATGGTCTGCTGGTAGACTCCATCCCACTCTGCCTCTTCCCTTGTTGTCTTCCTTGCTCTTTCTCCTTTCCCCCTCCCTCTTTTCTCGCTCTCTCCTACCCTCCCTCTTACTCCCTTCCTCCCTCTCATCCAATAGGAAGTTGATCTGACTCACGGGCGTCTCAAAGCCATTCCGGAAGTGGTGACCTCTCTCACAAAGGTCGAAGTCCTCTCGCTGCGTCAGAACCTCATTCCAGACATGGCACCACTGTCTGGACTGGTGACACTCAGGGAGCTGGATCTCTATGACAACGAACTAACAATCGTCGCCGGCCTTGGCAACCTGACACAACTGACGTACGCAACATCTTCAACCCTCTCTTTAACCCCATAACAACATACGTACCATTATTGTAGCGCTGAAATTTTAAAAGATCAACAGTTTTGCAAATGCATAATTGTGGTAGGCAACTCCTATACAGTGGAACCCCTCTCAATAAAGAGAGCCCTGAAATGAGGACAACTCTCTAATAAGGACACCTTTTGTTTCCCAAAGAACAGTTCTTGCAACCTCCAAAATAAGGACACCTCTCGTAACTTATTTGCTGCGCCTTTGCCTTTTTACCTCGTAGTTGACACATGGACACTTTCTTCTGTCCCATTGGTGTCTGGATTAGAGAGGTTCCACTGTACCACTCTTTCCCTCCCTCCCTCCCTCCCTCCCTCCCTCCCTCCCTCCCTCTTAGATCCATTGACCTATCGTTCAACCACATTACAACCATCAGTGGACTGGAGGGAGTGGTGCAGTTAAAAAGCCTCTTCCTCATTCAGAACAAGATATCAAAGATTGAAAACATCTCTCATTTCACCCAGCTCACCATGCTGGAGCTGGGGGCCAACCGCATTAGGGTGAGGGAAATCATGATTTTCCCAAACCATGCACTGTGCAGTTTTTCGTGACTCACAAAATGTTCAAATGTGGTTCCTGCTTTGCTACTTATCGAGACTTCCATTGTCCCTTCCGATGGTTTGGTCTACTGCGCTTATAAAACTCTTCAAGTGACACGTACAAATCTCAAATGTATGGGTGTAATGCAGGACAACCCATACTAAGTACTACCGTACTTAGTGATGATTAAGTTGTTTCGTGCAACTGTTCTCCATTTCAGGTTATAGAGGGTCTGGATACGTTAGTGACAGTTGAGAGTCTGTTTCTTGGTAAGAAACAAGATTGAAAAACTTCAGGTAAGGGAACATTGGTTAAAGTAATCAGGTGCTGTTTACACCTACACTATATTTAGGGTCTGGAAAAACTGACAAACCTGAAAGTGCTGAGTGTTCAAGTGAGTTACTAAAAATATACCAGATATGGGCATGACGTAATGCTTGCTAAAAATAACTCAGAACAACAGACTGGGAAAGCTGGAGGGACTGGAATGTCTGGTTCAACTGGAGGAGCTCTATGTCAGTTTCAATGGCATCAAGACCATTGAAGGTCTGGAGACTCTGGTGAGCTCATTCCCAAATTCCACCTTTCCATTCCTTCACTCAGTTCCCCATTCCTCATTATTCATATTCCATCCCCCATTCCCCATACTCCCATTCTTCATACTCCATTCCCCCATTCTTTAAGACCCATTATTTTATATACTCCAATGCCCAATTCTTCATGCTCTGTTCTCTCATTCCCCTAGTCTTCATACTCCATTCCCATACACTTCAATACCCCATAATCCAGTCTCCCATCTAACTCCATTCCTCTATTCCGTACGTGTTCCTCCGTTTTAAAGCCTTATTCTCCCATTCCCCCAATCTCCATACTCCCATTCTCCCGTTCCAAGGTCAACCTGACAACACTGGACCTGGCCAACAACAGGATCAAAAGACTACAGAATGTCTCTCATATGCTCAAACTTGAAGACTTCTGGGTAAAATTATACACAAATTCCGCACACCCACAATCGCATTCTTTCTCGCTCAATTTGAATAGAGGTCTCAATGTTCCCTGTTGTGAGGTTCACTTAATTGCATTTGTGTATGTTTTGAGAAGTAGGAAGTTGCAAACCTACCCTTCCTCCTTATCTCTCTCCCCTCCCTTACCTTACCTCCCTCTCTTCTTTCCTCTAGTTCAACAACAATCAGCTGGACCAGTGGGACGACCTCTCTCACCTGAGTCCCATAACAACCCTCAGAACTGTCTATTTCGAGGCTAACCCCATAGCAAAGGACACCCAGTACCGCATGAAGATCAAACGCGCCTTGCCATGTGTCACACAGATAGACGCAACTATGGCCCCAGGAACGGCATAGCTTTTACTACTGGTAGCTATATAGTCAAATATATACATCTATCACAGCCACAAGACTTCTACTAACGATTGTAACAATTTTACTATTGCTTTTGAGTTGTGTAAACTTAAATAAACTTCTGTGATAGAGTATTTTGTGGGGGACTTCTATTTATATGTCATCATCACTTAGTGTGAATCTTGGTGGTACGCGCTGTTCTGTCGAATTTTCTTCATCTGTCTCACCCTCCCTCTCTCCCTCCCTCTCTGACTGCTCATCTTCGTCGCTAGAGAACACCAATTGTCGTATCTTCTGCCCCCGAACCCGTCTGACCGGTCTCCGTCTGGTTATGGACCCGCTGTTTGCGACGGCCCGACGAGCCGACGTCAAAACGTCGGTCCTGAAATCATCGTCTTCGTTCCATTCCGAGTTTTCTTTTTCCTCGTCCGATTCCAGAGCCACGGGCAGAGCCTTTAGTCTACGTGTTGTGCCGACTCTGACTTTCGATTTCACTTTCTCAGTCCTTCCTTTGGCTGGAGTCTGGAGTCGGAGTTGTTTGGATGCTTTCTTTGAAGTCGTTTTAGCTTTCTTCCCTGTGTGAGTATATGATACCGAGAAATTCACTATAGGTCAGTGTAAATAGGCTGACATTTTTTGCAACGACCTTTAAGAACCTTGCAACTACTCCTAAGGCTGTGATCTACCACGGCTGGGGGGAGGACACCATTTCACTGCCCGTCCATTACACACACACATAAAGACGACAAAAGTATCTTACGAGATAGTGGTATTGGAGGTGGTGAGAGAGACGCGTTTCTCCCATTCTCCTCTTTCTCCCGCTTCTTCTCGCTTTCTTCTCCGTCTCCCTCCCCCTCCCTCTCGTCCTCCAACTCCTCAAGCCCTTTCTGCTGTGCGGTCTTCATCATCTCTTCCAGTTCAGTAATCAGAGCCTGGAAGATGAGACTGGGGGATTCACTAGAGGCAGGGACAGTCTTGGGAAATGGTGTAAGGGCTGTCTGTGATTCTATCAAGACTAGTCAGATTTATGTTCAGAACTGTAGCTGTGCATGTCTCCAATTTAAGTGACAGAATCAACACTTAGAGAAAAGGGAATGGGATATGGCTCTGAGTGCCTGGGGAATGTGGCTGAAAGCTGCTTGACTTGTGCTATCAGGTTTTTTATCAGTATTGCAGGCCCTATTAGCGTGACTAGACAAGTTATGCCAAGAAGGTGGGGCAACTCTGCACTGCTTGCAATGGTTCAGCAGAAGATATCTACAAAATAACACTCTTCAGCAAAAACTTTAAAAATGTAAACCAACAATAAGGCAGCAAACAAAAGATGCTAAGAGGCAACTCTTTAGGGGAAGCTGTAGTTGTACCTTTGTTTCTGGTTTGGCAAACTTCTTGGCCTTGTTGGTGACACTGGTAAAACTGGTATATACGTCCCGATCAACCAGTTTGTCTTGATAGCACGTGAAGTTGTCCTGAAGTTTCCGGACGCAGCGGTCGTTGAAGTTGATCTGAGTCAGACAGTGGGCTAGGTCCCGCCACTGCTGCTCTGACCTGTAGGACATGAAACGGCAATGTGGCAGTAAATAATACGGGCTAAATTTAGAAACTTTAAACCGACACTTAATTACACGCTTGCACCTAGTGCTTCGTTCTATCTTTAGTAACATTTCTAAATTTAGACCTTAAATATTAAAATAGACTGAGTCTTTCGAAATTCTAACTAATACCTCACATATATACATAATTCCCAATTAATACCCGGTAGCTCTGAAGCGATGGCATATTTTCTCGACAAGACTCTCGCAGTGTTTGTCTTTCTGAACGAAGGAGAACAGAAATCTGAGGAGAGGGAAACAAAGAGAAGTAAACGATTTACTAGCAATATTGCAGTCACAGTTAGAAACACCTTTTGCACTACATATACAATGTGCTACGCATGTATGTATGATTACCATATTCACACAGTAGGCAAAATGGTATATGTGGCAGTATATGTTACTAAAGATAGAACACTACAATAGGGCCCAGATGTTACTAAAGATATAACACTATAAATAGGGCCCAGATGTTACTAAAGATAGAACACTACAATAGGGCCCAGATGTTACTAAAGATAGAACATTACAATAGGGCCCAGATGTAAGAGTTGAATTGAGTTTCCATTTATAGTAACACAGTACTCTAAATTTAGCCCTTATGCCACTTTCCAGTCAAGATCAAGCTATAAAAGGGAGATTAATCAGGGGGTCCCTCCTCACCTGGTGATATTTCTGAATTTCTCTCGAGGGACCAGTCTCTGGGGGTCAGAGAGGTGACTGATGATGTTGGGCAGAACGTTGTAGATATCGTTCCCCTGGGGAAGGGGGGCAAATTAGAGGGGTCTTCTCATTTGGGGGTTTCAGATTAAAGGGGTCATGTAAAGCAGGGTTCACAATTACTGTTAAAGGGAATGTGTCATTACATGTGGGAAATGGTTAAAGGGCCTAGTGAAATCAACAGTTTTTTTATTATACAGACATATTCCCTTTAAGGTCAAGCAAAAGGGTCCCAATTAACTGGGTATATATACCAATGTATGCTGTGACCCAGATAGGCACAATGCAGTTTGTTTAGCTAAGCTAATCAAGCTAGGCTGTTTTCATAAGCTAATGAGCCATGTGGAGAATGGAGAGTTGCAAAACTCCAGCCCAAGGTTGCCTAATTACGCTTGCGCAATAATAACAATATGCTGGCAAAAACCAAAATTGCCCAATTTTTCTATGGTAATAGGCTGTATATGACATCATCCGTATTCTATAACACGGAGTATGGGAAAGTGGGACCCACTGTATATACTACCTTCTTGGCTAGTTGTGAGAAGAAGAACCGTGCGTTGGCTGCTATGGACTCATCCTTGTCCTCTAGGACCAGCGCCATCTCGCTGATCTGACCTTTGACCTTGATCATGTCGTTGAGAATGAGGTGAGTGAGTACGATGATCGTGTTCTTCCTGACGAGAGGGGCGGGATCCTGCAACCTGGTCAAATATCAATCATACTGCAGTGAAATCTCTGAATAAGGGACATCTTGGAGACATTATAAAGTGTCCTTTATTCAGAGGTAGTGTTATGGGGTACATGTCATTAATAGAGAAGCGTCCAGTAGGTATATATATTATATATATTAGTATGGGGCATAATTATGCATGTGTCATTAATAGAGAAGCATCCTGTAGGTACATATACAATGTAATGTATTAGTATGGGGCAGAACTATGCATGTGTCCTCTATAGAGAGGTGTCTTTATTCAGAGGGTCCTTTTCAAAGGCTTCACTGTGATTTAATTCGGGAGAGGCTCCACCCACTGTGACTCCGCCCACCTGGCATAGAGGTGTGGAGTCCAAGGTTCAGTCAGGTTGGGGTAACGGAATGCCAGGTCGCCCGCGGCAACGATGGTATTGGCTCGGACTGCCATGTCAGCAGATTTTTCGAGGACGGTGAACAGCAGTTGGAGATATTTCTCACACAGCTGATGACTGCACATACAGACATCATAATACACTTACACCACCATTGAGCACCAGCTATCATCGGGGAGCAAAGTGAACCGACCTATTATCCGAATTTCATGAGTATATTTTCTTCACACTGCCATAAAAAAAGTTCTTTTATTGGTGACTCATCAGTTTAACCTCAAAGTGACAAGAATCGTCCACTTTTGCCCCTTAGCTTCTCTAGAACTACCCAACGAACAGATAAACACTTTAACCCCTGAGCTCCCCTAGAGCTACATACTCACCTGATCATCCACCTTAACCCCTTAACTTCCCCAGCCACAAGTAATCAACTTTAACCCCTAAGCTCCTCGAGAGCTACCTACCTACTCACCTGATCATCATGTATTTCGAGAGAGCCAGAACGGCAGAAGTCTGGAGAACGGGACACCTGTACTGCGAGGGATTAGCCACAACTGAGACTATGAGTGGCTCGAATCGAGAGAGAAGGCCGGTCGACCCGACATCGACCTCACACACCCTCTTGATCATGTCTCCCTCCACGTCCTCGGCCGTCGCACCAATCAGACCCATCTCCTCCTCCAACGAGGGGGACGATCCCGTCGCCTGGACGGGGGAGGAAATGGGGTTAAAATTGGTCAAAATTGAAAACGAGAAGAACTTGTGTGTAATGGAAGGGTGGTATGAATAATATTTGTTATTTTGAAGAGCAAGATTCGGAATAGCAAGATTTTCTATGGGATTTCTTCCGGAAATTTTTTTTAAAACTCTCGGAACAGTAACATTAAAACTGACCGACATCTTTTCATAAAGCATTGCTACCTTTTTTCCAGGCGTTTTTCCTGGCGTGTGTCTGGGAGTTTTTCTGGCCGAAGAAGAAGATGGAGTTTTTCCTCTCTTGCCTCCCGACCTCTCTCCCTCCTCTGCGGCCGCCTCTCTCCTCCTCTTCAGTTCTCGAGCAACGCACGTCTCAAGATGAATCACCTAATGGGGGGGTGGAAATTTGGAACCCCTTTAGAACTAATATCGTATGTAGTTTATCTAGCTCTAACTTCCGTCTTTCCCTCTATTTCGCTCCAAACTTTTGTCCTTACCTGCCACTGTGCCACATGTCCAGCAGTGAAAATCAGACGAGAGAGGGTCAACGAATTAAAATCTGAAGGAAAAATTTCACTCATAAATTTGAACCTCCCTTCAAAGCAAGGAGCCATAAAAACTGTCTTTTATCATATTTTACCTTTGGAGAGCTCAAAATTTTCTCCCTCCCTCCTTCTCTCTGTTTGCTCTTTTTCTGCCCCACCCTCCTTCCTCCTTCTGTCTCCTCATCTTCTCTCTCCCCCTCTCCCTCCCCCCCCTCTCCCTCCTCCCCTCCCTCTCCTCTTACTCCGGACATCGTCTTGACCAGAGATCTCAGGATATTGCCACACAGTCGGTCTGGTTGCTCAGACAGTCTGTAGATAGCGGCGATGGCTTGCTCTGCAAATGGCGTCCATTGAGATGAGGAAGGACTTGAAAACTGAGAGCGAGAGAGAGAAAAAGAACAAGATGAGCAACAAATTTGCTCCAGGACCTCTTTTCTTATGAATGCAAGTCATTAGTACATACATGAATTGCAAAAAAAAACTGTTACTCATTTCAAGGGTTTTATATGCACCTCACAGGCCTGCCCGACCAAGTTCGCAACTTTCATTTCACTTATTTGCAAATATACGTGAAAGTTTAGTAGTACTGCTGTAGAAATCGAACACACAGAGATCGTAACCCTTACTACCCATGCATGCTTTAGAATCACTGATCCAGAATGAGGGAGGACAGTGATACAGCATATAAATATATACCTGTGACACTAGGAGACTGGTAATCTCCTGGAACATGGAATGGGAATGGGGGAACCGGAATGGGACGGGTGGCTTGTTGGTCTGGGAATGGGACCGGTGCAACTTCTGTAGCATCACGCAACAGTGCCTCGCCAGCACAAGATCTGAAATACACAAAACTAGACATAAACTATTTTGAAATTTCAGTGGTATAAAAGATGAAGCGTTTTCAACACACGCTATAGAGAAACATCACTTTGTAAAATCATGTAGGTTGGCTTGCTTCTCTCGCTAATTACGCAAACTCGCTGATCTAACCCCCACTAATTACCAGGGTTATCCCCATGTTGTTTGAGTCCGTGAGAAATCAAGATTCTGATGTTCGCGTTTGCAATCTCGGGGTCTGCCCCTGCAATCATGGAGAGCAGGAGAACGGCAGAACAGGACTGGGACTGCGTCACATTCCCTACACTGAAACAGAAAGAGAAGAAAATCTCAAACACACTACTTATCCAACGAAACTGCCAATACATGTGCTTCAAATATTTGACACTATTACCTTTTGGTGAAAATGTCCCAAAGCAGTTTAACGACAGGGGCAGAGATGTTCTTCCCCTTCATTAGCAGAACCATCATCTGCTCCAGAGATGATAGCTCGGCGTAGGTAGCTTCGTTTGTGAGGGACATTAGGTTGTGGACGATGATTGGAACGGCCTGCTTAGGGTTTTCCGACTGTGGTTAGGGAGAGAGACTAGCATAAAACACTAGTGGTTAGGGAGAGAGACTAGCATAATCACTAGTGAATAGGTAAAATGGAGAGTGGGCGTGTGGGAGCTTGAAAAACAGGAGTAAAGCAGGGAAAATCTGGAGGATTTAAAAGAATTAAGCGAGACAGGGAGTGGAAGCGAGTCAGAGGTACAATTAGAAACTGAAATTCAAACATTCATTCTGAAAATCAGTATTCATTTCTTGTTCTCATGTGAGCTGGATAATTACCTCACCTGAGGTTTGAGGAACAGTCTGACGTATGTTTCGACGAGAGAATCCTTCATCTGCTGCTCCTGAGACCACACCAGTCCCAGAGCTTTCTTCACCCCTTCTCTTGACCCTTGAACCTGCCGAGGAAAGAGAGGGGGAGGGGGAGGATAAGGATTGAAAATTCAAAGAGGTACGTACTCACTTGAAATTCAAAAGCCGCTGCAAGAAACTCAAGTGCTTCCAGTACGTCTGTGTTGACCTTTGACCCCAGCAGCCTCGTACAGACAGGTACACAGGATGACATCAGGTCGATAAACTCCACCCCGTCCTGCACAAGGACACACACACACACACCGCAGTGAAATACAGTGGAACCCCTCTCTAAGGACACCCCTGAAATGAGGACACCTCTCTAAGGACCCCCTCTCTAGGGACACCCCTGAAAGGAGGAAATAAGGACACTTGTCTCTCCCAAGAACAGCTTCTTGCATGCCCTGAAATAAGGACATCTCACTAATATGGACACTTCTTCTGTCCCATTTGGTGTCTGGATTAGAGGAGTTCCACTGTATAATGCTCAGGACACCTCACTACTATTCAGTGAAAACGTTGAAGCTGACCTTAAGATATTTGACGACTGCGAGTTGCTTGGCCACTTCTCCCGCCTTCTCTCCTTCCTCCTTCTCCCCTCCTCCTCCCTCCCCTCCCTCCCTCTCTCTTTCCTCTCCCTCTCCCTCTTTAGAGGTGACATCATCGACATTACGGCTCTCTGGTGGCAATAGGGCCTTCAGTTTGGCCTCCTCTGCGACAAGTCTGGACTTGAACTCCTTCTCATTCAGCTGTGCAATGACAAACAAACACTCATAAATCATTGTTAATCACATGCAGTGCCATCCCCACATCCCCCTTTAATTCTGTCGCTACTGTACAGTACAGAGGACACACACGAAGAGAACTAACCTTGGCAGCGAAGGGGTTGGCAGCCAGGACGGTAGTGAGCAGTTGAACTGCGTTCTTCCTCACGTTGCTGCTCTTATCCTCCGTTCTCCCAAACACCAGTGGCAGAATGGCCTTCAGACGAGGCAACGGAATGGCCTGGAGACACACACAAACGGAATGGCCTGGAGACACACACAGACATTCCTCGTGAATTCTCAACATTATTATGCACTTCAATTACTCTACAACTACATCATGCAAGGGCCTTGTACACAAGCATATGTACAGGCATGTACATATTATGTAGATGTGTTCATGCTCGAGAATTTTTCATCAGAGACCACTAAATTTTTGCCATTTAATACGGTTTGAATTGGCAAAAGAAGATAGTTTCGCGGAGTTCAGTTTTATATAGCGTCCGGATACTTCTGCCAAAAGGTGCTTTTTGGTGCTTTCGAGATGTGTTGTCCGTTGTGATGCTCACTTTAGCGTTGGCCAGTTGAAGCCATATCTGTAGACATCGACTGCGGACAAAGGCGTTCACGTCATGAAGATGTTGCTCAAGTCTGTCCAGGAGTTTGTCGCGAGTGATCCTCGACTGTTCGTCCAGCGATGGGGAGGAGAGGGCCCCAGCCACAGTCTCTCCTATCACCCCAAGAACTCCGTTCCTCATCGTGTAGGACTGTGTAGTGTAAGAACAAGGGATAATGAATAATTTTCATGATACAGTCGGTCATGCTTCAAAATTTAGCAGTACCTACTACTAAAGATGGACAGAACATAAGGGTTAAATGCTACTAAAGATGGAAATTTTCAAGTGCATTAAGGCCCTTACATAGAACCACCATGGTTCAGATCATGTGCAGTTATTCACGCTCAGGAAGGTGTAACCTGAACGTGTAATGCTTAGTTGTGCAGACCTCTCCAGACAGATGAGGTATGAGGACACTGATGGAAGGTAGAACGGCAGCGGGCACTAATTGGGATAACTCCACGAGGAAGGATGCAAAGCAGCGAGTCCCGCTGGTGTCCTGGGAGAGATCGCGAGGATCCTTCCTGCCCAGCTCTCTGAGGGGGTAGTGGAAGAGGAGAGGGAGAGTTAAAATATGGTTATAATAAAGGTTTGAGGGTGATTGCGTGTGAAGGGGGGGGGAATTTGGTGGCATACAAGTGGTCCCAACCAACAAATATTTTAGCAGTTGGCTCTAAAACTGGAAAATCTGCAATGATTTTCTCATTCCTCTTTCAAAAGAAAGGAGAGAGAGAGCTAACCGAACGACTTCAGAGACGACAGTTTTGACTCCGTATTCCTGAGTCCAGGAAGACATGGCCACTGCTAGAGGTGACGTCAGGTGCTCGAAATGTTGGAGCAACTGTGGAATCTTCATTCCTACTCCTGACAACAGAAACATAGGGAGGAAGAAATCAAATTCTCTGTCTGAATAAACTACATACGTTGGCGCCATTCACTCTATATTCACAGTGAAAAACTGACAGTTGATAACTAAGCTTTTTTTTAGCCAAAACTCCAATAAATATGGTAGTTTAACTCATTATCAGGAGCTGACTGAAGAACAGTAGCAATACCTACCACTTTGCAGCAATCCACCAGGTCAACTAGGGATAATGTGAAAATATGCATACTAAACTTACCCAGTGCCACGTTGAATCTCTTCATGAGAGAGCCCATGAGGCCAAACACCTTGTCCCTGGCAGTCTTCTCCCTCACAAACCCCGGGTTCTCCAACAGCTTGTAGCACAGACTCAGCAGCAAGCTGTACATAATATTGTACATACACTGTACATACATACACATACACTCTTCCAGGCTACATACAACATACATATGTAACACAAGCATACACATGCACTCGCTAAAATCCTCCATCATTTGAGCTCACTTGCTAAAATCCTCCATCATTTGGACTGATGGTGGTTCCCATAGTAACCACAGGTCGTTCTCCACGAGGTCAGAGGTCATCTCGACGACTCTCTCCCTCTCCCGTCCCCAGTCCATTCCACTGGGATGGGACTCTGACCCAGTCACAGCATTCTTCTTTTTCTTCTTACCTCCTCTCTAAGTGGAGTGTGCAGTGAAGCAAATAATATTTTGGGGTTCGATTTTGCATTTTTTGCAGGCACGTAAGTAAACGAAATGACAAACCAACTATCCTTAATACTTTGACTATAGTTGAAGGATGGAATAGTATAACAATCTTGCTGTATCTCTTCCTATATTACTTCTATTTCACTATCACTTCGCACCCCTACCCTAACAATAGTTCACAACTGAACCTTGTTGGTGACAATGTCTAGGGAATCTGGTTTGGTGGCATCAGTTTCAAACTCTTCAACCATCTGTACTACCACATACACCATCATCTAGTAGTGAGAAATAAAAATGAACTCATAAAAAACATACTTCATCAGTAAAAAGCAGAGTGGAGAAAAGTTAAAGAAACACATTTGCAATGAGATGGAAGAGAGGGGAAGTTTGAGAAGGTGAGAGAGAAGGGAAGAGACATGGACCTTTAGTGCATTCCTCAGTTCCGCCTTCTTTGTCTGTGTCATACCGGTGAAATTAGCCCCGCCCACTTGGTGACACACCCCCTCCAGCCCCCTGACCCCAATCCTCCAGTAACTCTCTCTCACTGATACACCCACACTCAGGAAATTCCTGCAGACACATGTTACTATAGTAAGGCAAATACATTCTAACCCATATTCATTTTTTTAAGCATAAGTCTTATGAAAATCTCAAAAGTATGGGCATGATGCAGGAAAACCAGTCACCTTAGTTGGTGACACCGTTGCTTTATGCTTCGTAAGTGCAATGAACAAACAGTAGGTTAGTAGAATGTACTTGGCTCAATAAGTAAGCAGGTTTGAATTTTGAATAATGTGGGCTACACTAATGAGCTGGTTGGTTCGGAAAATGCATTTACATCCAGCTCACAAGGTGTGCGTGTGTGTGTGTGCAGACTCACTGTAGAAGACTGAAGAAGACAGGGAAACACTCGGGAATGGAGGCAACGACACTAGAGTCCAGCAGTGACCTGCATTCTAGACAGAATATGGGGTGCCCGACGCGTGCATTATCAAACAATCCACATAACAGAAAGGGAAGCACAATATAAGAGAGGTCAGGGTGTATAATATTAAAAAGTTTTAAGGAGGGAGAGAAGGCAGGGTGGCGGGCAAACATTACTAGGCCTACCTTCTAGTCGAGACACAGTCTCTCTGGCTGGGAGAGGCTCTGATACGAAGAACTGGGAGCCTCCCGACGGCCGGAGAAGGTCCTCGCGGGACAGAGGGATCTGAAACTCCATGACAATGCGCCTCTCACCAAATTTGCAGGCGTAAGCAGTTTTTTCCCGCGCGTGCGTCGGAACGTTGACCCTGTGCGCATGCGCGAAATAAAGCTCACCGGAAGCATTCACTCTATAAGAACACGAGAATACCACCATCATTCTAATTGTTGCGCGATGGATTCCAGATTTTTGTTTGCTTTGATTCTCCTCTGTGGTCTGGAGGTTAAGTGTCAGACTTTTCCTTATGTCTCCATATCCACAGGAGCTGGGCTACCTAACCATAGTTATGTAGACCTTGGAACAGTGGGGATAGTGATAGCAACCAGTGTTTGGTGTCGCACTGATCTGATGACATGTTGCAGAAATATACATAGTCCTCGACATAGTGGACAATGGTTTTTCCCTGATGGTGTAGCTCTGCAGACAACTAATGATACTTATGTCTTTCAAGAACAACAAAGAGTTGAACTACGTCGTGCAAACCGTGCCACTTCGAATTCTCCAACTGGTATATATCGTTGTGAGATTCCAACCAATGCTGTCCATGATGATACAGACATCTCAGTGAGAGCCACAGTCTATGTGGGACTGTATACTAGTGCAGGTAAATTTGTTAGCTAAGTGCATCAGGATATGTTAAATTGCTGCAGAAACCAGATTAAAAAATCCTTCATGACTAATACTTATAGTTATGGTAGTCTCTTTCTTCTACAAATAGGAGGGAGTGTCTCAATATCTGGAGATGTGACATTTGACCCTCACCTGTATCTCCACTGGTGGACCTGCTACCACTGTCACTTGGACCAGAGACTCCACCACTGTCACCCAAGGAACCCAGACTGTGTTGAATGACCCAGTGACTGCACAGTACACCCACACTCTGACTGTGACTGCTTTGGGAACATACACATGTACTGTGTCTAATAACAAGCCATCATCTGCATCAGCTAGCATCACATTAGGTATATACCCTATTCCCCTTTGTTATAATCAGAGTAGTTTCACTTCAAGTTTGATGTTTCTTCAGATCTTTCACCTCCCACTGGTGTGTCAGCAGCCCAGAAGGACCAACAAGTATTGAAGTAACCTGGAACCCTCCTGTTTCTCCATTGAATGGTATCACTGGCTATGAAATCTCCTACTCTGGGGAGATCTGCAGGCAGTAGTGGCAGTGAGAATGTTGCTGGTGAAAATACTAACAGACACACACTGACTGGTCTTACCAATGGAAGGATCTATACCATATCCATTGTAGCCACATCATCAACAGACCTAGTCAGTGAAAGTGTTGCCACCAACACTGTTCGCTTGGGTAAGCAGGAATAATACACAATTTTTCATAACTATTTTTTCACAGTTCCATCTGCTCTAGTTCTGCAAACATCTCCAACAGTCACATCCACTAACATCACTATCACTGGTAGTGTTCCCACTGGCTCAGTGGTGACTGGCTTTATTGTCCAGTGGCAGAGAGACACGTCAGTTGGCTGCTCCTCTTCAAATCAACGAATTCTTACAGTGAATCAAGGTTTTAGTGGTTCATACAGAATAACTGGACTAGAGCCAGGGAATAGGTACACCATTACTGTGACAGTCTTCAATGCAGCTGGCAATGGTCCGGTCAGTAATGCTGTAACTGCAACAACTATGGAGACAAGTAAGAAGCTCAGTCAAAATTAATTGTATACTGGTTTACATTATTGTTCTACACAGATCCTACAGGAGGTCCTAGCTCAGTCCGAATTGGTACAGTCACAGCCAGTAGTATAACTCTCCATTGGGGAGAGGTGTCTTGTCTCCATCGTAATGGAGAGATAACTGGCTACAGAGCACAGGCTGTGAGAAATGGAATGGTAGAAGGAACTGCTAGTGTCAGTGGTGGTGCTAGACAGGCTACAATCTCTGGATTGTCTCCATCAACCCTGTACTCTGTCCAAGTGGCAGCAGTGAATGGTGCTGGTACTGGACCATACAGTGGTGCATATGTCAGGACTAATGGTGAGTTTAGTACTGTGAAGTATTATGAGTGGAATTGTGACGTGAGTCCCAATGATGAGTGAGGGATGAGAATGTTTTGACAGTGTAGGCAAAAAGCCATTCCTAAGTGTCTACTAACTGCTGAGACATGAAGGCATGTCCACTAGGCTGTGTAGACAACATCCATTACCTACACAAAACACTTCTGGCTTCTATACACCTGTTTTGTATACCAGTGTGTAGGCACAGGTTTTCTCTGCCTTAGGATAAACCTTTCTCAACAGATGGACTTATTACACAAGTTATCTCATCCTATACATCTCTGAACATCTCATGTACACTGGAGGGGACTTTGACAGCTACTGGCTACACCATCTCCTACTCCAACACTAACACTGACTGTTTCACTGACTCCAGAAGTGGTATAACTACTAGTGGAACATCATATACACTGACTGGTCTGGAGGAGGGAACTCAGTATTCTATCACACTCAATGCCACTCTGACTGGAGGAAGGACTGAACAAGATATCATCACAGCCACCACAAGAACTGCCGGTCAGTTTATCTCTCAGAGTCTCTTCTCTCCTTCATTCTGAACCTTTCTCTCTCACAGCTCCATCTGCCCCTCCCTCTTCTGTGAGGTTGTCAGTGGTCAGTTCCACTAGCATCTACGCCAGGTGGGGGCCAGTGGACTGCAGGCATCGGAATGGAAGGATAACAGGCTACACAGTGAGGTATGGGGAGGAGGGAGGGGGTCAGAGATACGAGCATCGGTCAGGAGACTCCAGTGGAGGAATGATCACACTCAGTGGACTGACTAACAAGACAGTCTACACAGTAGTAGTGGCAGCAAGGACCAGTGCTGGTACTGGAGTCTACAGCCAACCACAGAATATTGAAATTCCTGATTGTGAGTGTGTTTCATTCTTGTTTTTCACCTCAATACGGTATAATAAACATAGATGTATTCTTCAGTCTGAACGGTAACATCATTCCTAATCACGGCTATGTGGCTATCAATGATATTGGCTCCACTGATAACACTGCTCTACTCTGTCACACTAACCGTCCACCTCCTAATAGTGGTAATTCTGGTGGCAACTGGTATGCACCAGATATGACTAGAATTAATTATGATGAGATTAATGGAGTCGCCAGAAACAGAGGTCCTACGATAGTTAGACTGAAGAGAACCACTAGTACTGGTACTCCACCAGAGGGGATATATTTATGTGAAATAATGGATGCTGCATTCACACTTCAACTGGTCTATATTGGTGTCTACAACAGTGGAGAAGGTATAATGTTATATAATTTGAACGAAATTTGGTTTTTGAATGTATTCATGTTTGGCACTCTTTTTAGGGCATCTAACACTGTCTGGTGGTATCACTTTCACTCTAAACAATAATAAAACGTTCACCCTCACCTGTATCTCCACTGGTGGACCTGCTACAACTGTCACTTGGACCAGAGACTCCACCACTGTCACCCAAGGAAATTTGACTGTGTTGAATGATGGAGTGACTGCACAGTACACCCACACTCTGACAGACAGAACAGCAGGACTCTACACATGTTTAATAGCTAACAGTGTTTCAAATGTTTCAGCAGAATTTATTGTACGAGGTAAGACTGATTTCGTGGAATTACTGAGCTATCATAATGATTTCTTTCACCAGCTCCCTCTCCTCAATCTGAAGTGAGAGTGTCTCAGAATGGACTGAACAGTATACTAGTGACCTGGACACCATTGGAAGGACCCGATATAACTGGCTACACCATCTTCTACCAACAAATAGATGGAACACACAAAT